GATTAAGTGAAACACAGAACTAGGGATGGGTTGGGGTTACGGTTAGTATCCTCTGTATTGATTCCCTTATTGATTGTTGATCAATTTTCTGTGTGGAAAAAACACAGGTTGTCATCATCAACACAACTGTTTTATTATCTCTGTCTGAGTGTCTAAACACAGTAGAAAAAAAGTCATGCATGTGACTCAAGTTAATCAATGTTTAATTTGGAACCGGTTCTCAACTGGAACCAGTTCTCGATTTCAAACTCTAGCAATGAGAGAATCCACCCCACTGTATGTATCTCTGTGTGTATGTGTGAGTACATGAAGTCATCCTGAATACAACATCTCTGTGACAAACTTGTGCAATTGTGCATGTTGTCTGGCAAAGCTTATCATGGTAGTGTCTTTGAACTAAAAGGCACCTCCTCTCTCCACAGTAACTGGCTCTACTCTACCTGCTTAGCCCAAAACCTCAGGAAAAGGCAGTAGGAACTGGGTGGGGTGAACAAACTGGAAGGGCACGGGGTAGGATCAGACACCCTCTTCAGTTAGGTGAGATGGTGCGTCTACGCAGGCAGCTGCATGTCAGGCACTTGAGGATGCTCATGGTAATGTGCATGAGAGGGCCGAAATTGAAGAGTAAGTTGTAGAAAGTGTTGACAGACAGGCCACCAGTCTCATCTGCATACTTTAAGGCCACAATGGGTGTGTAGAGGCTGTTGGTCAGATTCCTGAAGCGAGGGCTGCTTGACTCAATAACCTTTTTAATGCACTGGAGAAATAAGAAGCAAAAAAAACATGACTGATTTCATTGCTATTTAGGCTGTTAATGATCAGAGAAACACACATTGATTCTTGAATCCTGGGACAGAATTGGTATAATGTGAGTTAGAACCCTGTTGCCTTACTTTGGCAATGTCATCTGGCATCTGGCCCATGGCTTCAAAAATATCTATGGATGATGGCAGGTAAACGTCTTTAAAATAACGAACTGTGTCGGCATCTACTCCTGGGTACTCCATCTTGGCCACATCCTCCATCATCTTTGTCTCAAACTCAGTGTGCACTGGGCCGGGCTCAATCATGGACAACCTGTGAGTAGTCAGATGCAGAAAGGTCTGTGAAGGAGCATGTACAGTACAAAGTAAAGACAGATGTGAAGGAGGAACAGAGGAAAGAGGGTAATCTACCGGATATTGAACTTCATCAGTTGCACGGCCATACTCTCACAGAAACCTTCCATGGCAAACTTAGAGGCAGTGTAAACATCATTAAACACCACTCCTAAACCAACAAAACAGAGAGATAAAGGGCGGCATCACTGCATTGTATTATCAAATTTTACAGCAGACATGAGTCACATCATTTACACATAAAGCAACTTGAATTGACCAAGCACATAGAGATCACATAGGAGAGTGCCAGGCAGGATATGTAAGTAAGTTTATCTAACTTGCATTGACAACTTATCAGATACTCTTTAACTCGTTCTGCTAAACCCCACCCATCTTGCACTTCAACCAAGTTAAAACAAACACTAAAAATTCTTTGCAGCTGCTTGTTATTTGACTCAAGTCAGGTCAGCAAACTTTTAGTGGAAATGTAAGGCATAGACTGACAGTTAATAAATACAATAAAGCCTTTAAACCAAGAAACATTTTCAGATTTCATTCGTCCAAGCATTCTCATTTAACCTTAAAGAAAACTGCTTGCTATCATTGACAGCACTACTGGTGGAAAACAATACCTTTTTGCAAATTACATTTAGCTAAAAAGTCAGCTATAGTGTTTAATTTTAGCATTTAAAAAATGTTCTGTTATGTACTAAAAACCAATAAAATTATAATGTTTCAAGTTTGTTAATTGGTACTGAAATTGTTTTTCATGGTATTATAAACTCAGAAGTCTGATTTGAAGTCAACTGAGCCTTACACTTTATAAAGATGTCAGAGCTATATGAAGCACAGTCATCTATGAAATAGTTTACTAAATTGGTTTACAATATCTAAGTGCATTGTTCCTGTCTTCAACTACAAAGTCAGTCTTAAACCATGTCTTTTCACAGTCAGTTAGATTTCTAAGTATCTTTTCCTGTGTTCTTGGAGTAAAACTTAACAGGATTGCAGATTATATTCTGTATTTTTACAGTATGTATGTAATACAAATCATACCCTGAAGACCCATGACACTGCTCATGACCACAATGTGTCCTGAACGCCTCTTCTTCATGTCTGGCATAACTTCTTTGATCATACGAACAACACCAAAGAAGTTGGTCTCAAATACTCTTTTCATCTCCTCGATGCTGATGCTTTCCACAGGTCCCAGCAGGCCCACACCTGCATTGTTGACTGACAGGAAACACACAGAGATGATACACTCAATCTCCAACACTACAATTATCGAAACTGACGAATGGTTAAGATATTGTTGCTTTAATATGAAGTGATATCTGTGTTGTTTGTACTGGCCTCTTGGTCCTTCTACAACAACTCCCTCATTCATAGATTATAGATAGTCTTACTTGATATTTCCACCAGATGTCAGTGTGTGACAACAACAGAGAGGTGTGATGTAACACCAGTCCATGTTGAAAGGCCTGTGGGTCTTGAGTAATGAGGTGAAGGGGGATGTAATATTGGATTTAGGATAAAATGGAAGCAGGTTTATAAATAGAACTTTTATCCAGACTAAAGGTTTTAACAAAAGAACTGAAAAGAGTCACAAGATTCACAAGTTACTATTCTAGCAACATATAATTTACTGCCCCCGCAACACAAAATGACTATGAAATGACTTAAGGGTTTTTACATAGTGATTGATCAATACCATGACTCAGTGAAATGATGGCGATGTGCTGTGATTTCTGGGATTCAAATGACATCTTTGGCTTTGTTTTAGCTGTATGGACTCCCCTTTAGAGAAAGAACGGTTTCATGGGCAGATAGAGCTGCAGACTTAGTTTCAGCTATATTTCATACAGTCAATTTATCACTGCGGTGGTCCTTTCTGTTTTGGTGCAGAATCTATCTGCCCACTGGAATTTCAAGACTTTCCCAATCTCCTCCCCCAACCTACTTTTAATGTCAACTGCAAAAGAATGGAGGACAGTGTAACAAGTCTGTAAGCTTTTATTCTGTTAATCTTTCTGTTGTGAAAGTATGACATCGCTGTTTGTGGTAAATACAGGTTACTGTAACAGGGAGGTTGAGGATAAGTGTTCTTCACATTTGGTTATCACTCCTACACACATAAGAAATTGAGTAAGGCCATACACCACTACTTAATCTACTACCTTATCGCTTTAGGTTATATGCTGCAGTTGTAAAACATATTATAAAAAAACAGCAAACACCTTTATACACATACAGGGGATGAGTCAATGAAGCCATGTCATTCAAAACTGGGGAAGGTGTCAAATGGGGGCTGAGGGGGTGGGTTCCACTTACTCAGGATATCTATATGGCGGTCCTTAACATTGTTGATGCACTGCTTGACGGACTCATCACTGCACACATCTAGTGGAAGCAACATCAAGGTCTTGCCATATGCATCTCCTGCCGCCTCCACAAGCTTATCCTTTTTCTTCAGGTCTCGCATGGTGGCAATGACTGATAGGGAGAGACAAAGTGGAAAATTTTATTTTACTTGTATGATGTTTCATCAAACTTAACAAAAACATCCAGAACCAGAAAAAAAAAGAACCAGAGCCGCAAAGAAATGCTTAGGAGTGTGTGGAGCACTCCAAATCATCAGTATTAAGACTATTTTTGTATACTGTACTTTCACTATCCCCTATTTGACTGGGAAGCATTAAGAAAATCACAAATGTTTGTTTTCTGTAGGTAAAAGACAAACTTTCACCTATTGTCACATTGATTAAGTGAAACACAGAACTAGGAATGGGTTAGGGTTATGGTTAGTATCCTATTTATTGATTCCCTTATTGATTGTTGATCAATTTTCTGTCTGAAAAAAACACAGGTTCTCATCATCAACACAACTGTTTTATTATCTCTGTCTGAGTGTCTAAACACAGTAGAAAAAAAGCCATGCATGTGACTCAGGTTAATCAATGTTTAATTTGGAACCGGTTCTCAACTGGAACCTGTTCTCGATTTCAAACTCTAGAAATGAGAGAATATTTGTGTAGCATTTGTTTTCATTTCGGTTTTCTTAGTCAAAGAAAAAAAAACTGCTAATCTTGCCTGCGAGGCGCCAGTGTTTTTATACAGGATATTTTACAGACACACTGTTCCGTTAGAAAGCAATGGCACTCGTGTGGAGTGTCAAACACATGGCTTCTTGGAGTTTAAGCCTTGTGTTAAAAGATGTTTGTTGCACATTTTTGGTGTTTCCATCCTTACTTGAAATTATCATTTTATATTACAACTAGCATTGCTGTCATCTTTCTTCATGAATTGAAGCCACATTTTGGACTGTTTCTTCCTCTCCACTGTGACTACTTCTTGTTGCAAGTTTCCAGCAGCATAGATGCATGAGTCTGACATCATTGTTTTGCAATGTGCAATTGTCAGAAAAACATGCCGCCATCGATAAATGGAATTGATAAGCTTGGAGGCGTACAATTCAGATGGATTGGACAATTTCAAACCGACCCTCAACTGGAACCGGTTCTCGATTCCTATCCCTAAACAGGATTGAGAAACCTTTTGTCTCTGAGGCCACCACTATAAAACTTCCTTAACACACACACACACAAGAAAGAACACACACACAGTTGTGACACTGTCACAGACATGTGGGTCAGAGTTCCTAGCCTTGACCACGCCTGTCAGTTTACAGGACACAGAATTGATTTCCTCTGAACTTTACACGCTGGGCAACATTAACCAACAAACAACACAGAAATCTATCATGGCCAGTGACAGCAGCTATCTGCACCGTGTTGACTTGGCACACTGTGCTGACTGGCATTATCTAGCAGAAAAAAGAAAAAAAGTGCAGTAGCACAATGGCAATCAGTGGGAGTAAACAACCTCTTATTCATACAATCAACTGAATCTACCTGTTTATCCTTGTCCAGACACTGTGGTCAAGAAAGCTCACCAGTGGCTCTAATTCCTATAGACACAGGGGAAATTTGGCATGAACGCCAACATCCTCACAAATTTCTACAGGAGCACAATTGAGAGCTTGCTGATGGGCTGCAACACAGTCTGCAACGGGAACTGTTCTGCCCACAGCCGCAAATCTGCCCCCAGCCGCAAGTCATAGAGTAATGGAAGAGGCACAGCACATCACTGGTCAGTCAGGATATCTTTCACCAGCTGTGCCTGCGAAAGGCACACAGCATCATCAAGGACCACAGCTTTTCAGCACACAGACTGTTCTCCTTGTTACCGTCTGGTAGATGATACAGGAACATGGCTGCACGTACAACCAGACTAAAGGATACCAAAAGCTTCTCAACTCATTAACAAATATTACTTCTGTCTGCAAAAATAAACCATGACTGCTGCTATCATAACAAGACTGATACATACCTAAAGTGCAATATTTCTGTCAACTGTCAATTTACTTTTACATACAAATCCTCATTTTCATATGTATTTAGTGTTATACTTTTTTTATCTCATTCAGTCTTTATTCAAGTTTTATTTTATTGCTTTCTTTATCTTATTCTATCTTTATATGACTAGTTGCTGTTGCAACTATTGCTCTTACTGCTGAGCTGACCTGGTTTTCTCGTCCAACACATTTAATTGTACCATTGACCCTATATGACTAATAAAACTGAGCTGAACTGAATAGATAAAGGCAAACCCTCCCCAGATTCTTGTCTGAACAGAAACAGGGTTATATAAGTAAGATTAAAAGAAGCATTGCTACACTGTAGAAGTTTTGCATTGCTATGTAATATTACTGATAAAAAATGTATATGTATAGTAATAACTAGGGCCATTTTTGAGAATATTGCAATGTTATTGAACTTGTCTTTGCAAGTAGTCAAATACACACTGCGCATTAATAACCTCTCATGAAGTCTAATTAAGCCTAATCTTATGATTTGAGATCTGTGTCCATGAAGCAACAAAGAGATTTAGGTATTTGGTAGAGAAGTGAACAAGAGATCCATTGTTCTTCTGGCTCCTGCAGGAATTACTCTTGGGCTGCTTAAACATTCTTGAATGAACCACATTGCATTGCACACACAGAGGTCTTTTTGGGGTTTCTCTGAGTTTGCTGCATGTTACTGCAACTAATTAGCCTACTACTTTATGCACAATGCAATATTTAATCTCTGTTGGATTTCCTAAAGACCCTGGGAAAAGAGCAGACCGGCTTCATTGCTCAGAGGTGGCCTTATTGAAAGCAGGTCACACTGTGAAAAAAATCTGCTCAAACCATTGTTCAGGGAGCAGTTAATCACTTTTGTTTTCCTCATCTATTTCGCAGTAATAAATCCCATCAGATCCCGTTGGCCCCTAAAGATAAAGAAAACTTTAACTAGCCCTTGCACGGTGGTTCCTAAAGTGCCAAAAGGGACAGCACTAATGATTTATTTTGATCACAATTAGTTTAATTAGAGAATGTATAAGATAAAGTAAATAGTGGGTTTCACTATGACTGAAGGCCTACAGCCAATTATGTAATTCTGCTTTAAGTCACATCTAACAACATGAGAGGGGGGTTGAAGACAAACTCTTACCGACAGGGGTGGGAGGGTGGTCTAATGTAATTCTGTCTGAGGCTCCATGACATGCTTTAGGATCTCCCAATTCCTACAATGACATTAATGATGGCTGGGAAGCAGGAGAGGAGACGCACAGACCAACAATGTCAAAGTGGGACACCCCAACTCCACTGTGCACCAATGAAGACTTCAAACAAGGCCCTTGCTTTAGAGTGAACCCTCGCTTGTACAGGTCTCAAACTTTGTCCCCCTTTCAACACTCGCTCCAGTGAGGGGACTATAGGCACATTAGACACGGCACTAAACCGGAGCAGGCGGTCTACAATTCACTGCGATAAAAGGGGGCTTTGTGCTGGAGAAGTCACTTGAAAGAGAACTGACAAGACTTCTTTTATGATTCCGCCTGGCAAGCGGCATCCTCGCAGAGCCCTACCCAGGAAACTGCGCTTTCAGATGATAATATTAGAACTATAGAGGCGACTGAAACCAAGTCCTTACAAAAGGATATGGATCCGATATCAGTAGGGTTAGCTATTTCAATGGACACTCCACTAAGTCACTTATTTGCGTTTAGACGGAGTTGCGCATGAAACTCAACCGAACTTTGTGCGTAAAGGAGGCTTGGTGCAATAGCAGAGCTTTGCAGGGTAAAGTAAACACGGAATAGGTTTTCAGGCGAACCACACTGTTTAAAGGCTTGCTACTAATAGGTCGGATCAAAGAAACATTGTAGAAGAAAGCGCATTTACCATGGTAACGCTTCTTTTCATCTTTGGCCAGCGTGACGGCGATTCGTAACCCGATGCCGGAGGAGCAGCCGGTGATCAGCACAACTTTCTGCCCGCTGTTCGCCATGATCTGTCCGGGTTGAGCGCTGTGTTTTTCAGCGGTCCTTTGCTCCGGATGGTCGCTGCCGAGGGAGCTACCGATCACCGGACTTTAAAGAACTAAAGCGGATCATGCAGCCACCGCAGCCATGTGAGCGTCTAATTCAGTCACATGTTCAATAAAATCAGTAAGCGAAAAAGACGTGGCATCGCAAACACCCCTTGCAGACAAAGTTTTTCAACTTGATAGGTGCCGCCTGCCCTGGAAATGAAGTTAAAGTGGGTTTAAAATGTGTGTGGCCGTGCATGCGCGCACGTGCGTGTTGTAGAGGGGGCAGTGCTTATTTGATTTCTGAGCTCGTGACCCCCAACAACAAATAACTAATATTATTACAGTATCCACTGAAAGTTCTGTTCAATACCTAATGGTATTTCTGGTTCCCTATTATACTGCAGTTCATATTCTTAATAGGATTTTTGTACGATTTATTTGATGGTTGCCTGCCAACATTTTTATTTCATCTTTTAAATTAAATAAAATCAAATTAGTTAATTCAGTTCTAACACAATATTTCAAATGGCTCCACGTAGAATTTCATACCAAATCACATTTGTTTGTATTATTTTTTATTCATATTATTACAATATTATTTTCATTATTATTATTATTATTATTATTATTATTATTATTATGCTCTTTGCTGTTGCCCATATATAGCTAAACCGAAATTAATCGCTTGCTGTTCGACTGCAGTTGATTTATTTATAAACTAGTCGTCCAATGCTTTTTGAAGGTTATATTGTACTGCCATCTGGTGGTTAGAAAAGGTGTAGCATTCTTACGAAGCCCTCAGACTTACTGAGCGCATGATACATATCTTATCAAATAAATAATGCTAATTGCTTCATTGTTGTCTAAATACTAACTAAATATAAGAATGGTGTGGTGTGAGTTTGGTGTTTGTCAATGATTCCATTAGCAAGAGTCTGCCATGGTGACTAATGGACCCTGTTCTTGACGGATGTTGTTAGGGGTCAATGTGCCTCTGATAAGATTCTCAAAGCAGACTTGCTTCTATTTCTGTGATGAAAGGCCATAGTGCAAAGGTCAGAGTCTGTCATGTTTGGACCTGTTGCTAAATGTGATGCAACCACATGCAAACTGTAAACGGTATGGTGGAAGATGTATGTTTTCCATTTGCTCTAATACTGATCTTTATAACCTCCGAGCAGAGATAAGTGAATTATCCAAAGAGCAATCCGGGGTGATAAGTGAGTGATTTATGTGCTAAAACAGTTTTCTACATCTACTTATTCCTCAAATAAAGGATGTTATCAGATTTCTTTTAAAATTTTTGACCCCCCAGCTTTTTTATTTAAAAAAAGTATGTATTCTTAATTCTTCAAAATATTTGATTTAATAATGGCGTTCATTAAATAATAGCATACCTAGCATACTGGTTTCTGTTTTGAATTATTTCGCTGGATCTTCTCGGCTCATACACCTTTGTTTGTCGTTCGCACAGAGTTCAGGAGGATTAGGCAGTACTCTATAGGAAGCCGCCTAGGCCACAATTAAATACTTCACTTGCACATACATATATACCGGTACTTACTAAGTACTTGCACACACATACATACTCTCTATATACATACCGGTGTGTATGTAAATGCAAGTGAAATATTCAGTTTTGGCCTTTGGGTTTCTCACAATACATTGGCATGACATTTTATAATAATAAGTTAATATAATAATTAGTCTGACATGCAACTTTAAATAGTTCCACACATGTAACGTGAATTTGGACATATTTTCTGTTGATTTTTTCTCAGTTAATCCAATCTGATTATGTATTCCACTAATGCATCTAAGACTTGTAATTTATTTTCTAATCCAGAACATTTCTGTCCTTTAAAACATATTGCGAGCATACAATGATAAATATAGGTGCCCCTGTTTTAATCCTCCCCCCTGGTTAACCCCTTTAACCACAATCCCCTTTTAACATGTTAACACAGTGTGAAGCATTAAGGACACTTTAAGGACAAGATAAAACAGTAGGTGAAAGCACAGGACATACACACACACAGAGAACAGCAGAAGGAACAGTGGGAGAGGACAGGGGCGGTTTCTAGCCTACTTGCCTCCTTTGAGGGTAAACTGAGGTTACAGCAGCTATTCATTTCTGTCATAACTTTGAAAGGAGAGATTCTCCCACAGGGAAGACATATTTTAACAATGAGTGGAGTCCTGGCCTGATCCATCAAGGGTCAGTCAGTAACCAGCAGGCTAATGGTATGAAGACAGGTTTAGCTTTACTGTGAAATATCCACCTCAAGCATGTGAACTCAACACATGAGGATATCATTTAAAAAATATATTTTTTATAGACTTACAACCATCATTGCTTGTGATAAATTGTCTACTATGTTGACAACAGAGAGCAGACAGTCAGCTTACATAGAGTTCAGGCCCAATTTCCTCTTTCTGTCTCACAAAGCTGATGTCTGCTTATTTAGAACATCCCTAAGCTTTGACCCATTTCTTTCACTGGAAAAGCAGAAGTTTACAATGAGATAACAAAAGTACCATTTGCATTGTGAGATAAAGCAGCTTTAAATCCGAGTTGACAGTGTGAAAAACAACACGCACTGCAGAGACGTTTTAGTTTATATATTTGGCTACATTTCAGATTTTAGAGAGTAACCTACAATTAAAGGCAACATAGAGCACCGAAATTCTAAGCAACAAAACACAGACATGTCAAAAAGAAAGGCATTCTTTTTTCACCTCTTTTCACAATGTGAGTGAAAAAATCCATGTAACAATGTATGTTACTTTTTGCCTTTTTTATGGCAGAGCAGCAGGTGGTGGTGTGAGCAAATGTCATGGTCAGGGATGAACAGAGAATGAAAAATGACCATGAACCTTTGACCCAGCCCAGCCCACTAACACTGACCCAACAATCAAAAAGCCTTGAATAGCCCATTGGCTCTTTTGCTACCAACTCATTATTTTGTATATGACCCCTAATGTTATATTATGACACAATACAAAAAAGTATAAACTCAGTAAAGATCAACCCTAAAGCTAGAACCGCCTGTTAAGTAAGGAGTAAGGAGTCCAATGATACACAACATTTTATTATATTTTGTTTTCATCAGTCCATTAATGGCCCAACAGGAAAGCTGTTGGTACTCCAGATGGCCAGTCCACCAGCACATACGGTGCTAAAAAGGGCCGGAGGAAGCTGGTGGAATAAAATCAGGGCTATCCCAGGCATGCTTTCGCTTGTGCCTCTGGAGAAAGTGGACAGGTGCTGGACAGCCAGTGATGTCTACCAGCCTCCAAGCTATTTCTGTGGAATTTCAGAAGATTGAGGCACTAAGACACCGAAGAAGTGAGGAAAGAAACAAAGAGGAGGGGATAATACAAGCCCCTACACGCTTTTCCATGCCACATGCTTTCTCTGCTTTTAATGTGTTGTTGTAAACCCTCCTCCCTTTTTCACCTCAGACTTTCCCCTCTTCACTTTCTCTGCACCTACTCACAGTATCTAACCCTCCTTGTAGCAATCAATTTTTCAACATCGTTCGTCAGAGCTTTCACCTGTTCCCTCTAACACCTCTGAGCATACTCCAGCTGTGCCCCGGGCCCAAATCATCTGTAACCTCTTTATCGAAGTCCAAGTCTTAGAAAATGACACCACCATCCCCTCTAAACATGCTTTTATAACATAATAGTCAATTTCCTGTGTACTGACTTGAGCAGAACTTTCACGGCTGTTCCAGCTGACTTTATAATCCCAATGTCTGTTTTCACTCATCATAATTAAAGATGGATTTTGTGATTAGCCAGAGATGCTGTTCCCAATGTGCAATGTACGAAATGTATATTTCCTTTAACATTTTTTATGCTTTTAAATATAACATTTTTATGCATAGCTCAATTTTACAAATAATTTCTACAAATCCTCATCATAAAGAAAGTGCATCGGACGGACTATCGCGTGTTTTGGCCCTCCTGTTGGTGGCATCTCCATGCAGCAGCACTGGACAGAGACAGACTCTGGTTGATGCTACTGGAAGGGGACTCTGGCTGTGTGAAAGGGCCAAGAGACTGGAATGTTTGCCACAGGTCAGGAGTGGCGCTTTCTGCTCTTTTGTGTGCAGTCTGCAGAGGAGGTGTGGAATGCAAACTTCATGAGAATAAAAGGGATGAAGGAAAAGAGTAGCTGGGGGTCGGTGGGCGGGAGGGAGACTTAAAAACAGCGAAAGAATAGGTGGAAAGACTCGAAAAGGAGTGAGCTGGGAAAGTGTTTTAGGGGTTCTGAGGCAGACAGAGAACACCGTTAATTGAGAAAATTGCTAAAAGAGAAGCCCACGAGCTGCGCTGAAAAAGGAGAGTTAAAAGTGTTGCTGCAGCTGCAGACCACACACAATGAACACTTAACAGAGAGTGCTTTGAGAGCAATGACACACTAAAGATCATAATGTGGCATTTCTCAGCTCCAGTTAATGACATTCTTAGAAACATTCATAGAGTTACAGCTCAACATTATACGTCATTCATACATTCTGAGTCACATGCCTGTTGAAAAGCATTAGCCTAGTCAAACAGTGAAATTTAGATTGGACTCAAAAGACTGTTGTTGCATAAAATGTCTTGATGGAAACAAGTTGAAACATAAAGAACAGTGCCAGATTCACTTATAGGTTATTCAAAGGTTTTCCAAACAGTAAGAGCAGAAAGCCAAGAGAAACAACAGCATGGTGCCAGTTAAATCTGATCTTAGGCAAACTAAGTACACAGATAGATTCCCAGGGGGGCTGTCCACTTAGCCACTGTGGCACCATGTTACAGGACTCTTCTGACCAAATCCTTTGCATTTTGTATCCCCCTAGTATCTGCTCTTAGAGTAAAATACATTTTATATTATAAATTAAATGATTTCCTATGATTTGTGAAAGACAATTGGTGTTATCTGGGCCTGGAACTAAAATTCAAATGTTTTTCACACAATAGGACAGTTCAAAGAAATATTGGTGTGAATCATGGTGTCAGTGTTCGGATTTACTGTAAGTACCCCTGCAAATGCCAATTTTCAACCTAATCATGGTGTTTTGTGTTATAAACTGAGTGAACGGTGAAGAGCACGATACACAGCAGAGTAAGTTTGAGTGTGGTCACTGGTTCAGTTTATTTAGTCTATTTGTTTGAGCATTTATCATTCATTTAACAGACATGGTCCTTAGATGTTAATTAGTTTAGTCTCCCGTCATCTCTAAATATTATAATTATCACCAGACTGGCAGTTCCCCTTACTGGCCCAATGCAAAAGGGCAAATTTCCACACACTTTCTCGTGGTCACATCCTTGGTTTGGCAACTTAATTACAGCAGGGTTTAGTAACTGACTGTGGCGTAACAGCTTGTCATCCAATCCCTGCTCAGCTTTGGTTCTGACGGTGATCTTACTCCTTTCAACAAGGCTTAAGTGTACAGGTTTTTTTTTTTTTTTCAAATTCCAAATACCGCAAATGGTTAAGTGCAGTGGTGATGAAATACCAAGCAGTTAATCTTATCCTGTCTGATGTGCTCACTCTACCGCCTTGTACCACAGGCACAACCCAGAATACCTGTTATAGGATGGATTTGTATCACAGGATGTGGTTTGGTGAAAGCTCTTATGTAAGAACACATGCTGTCTGATATATGGAGATGCTATCATCAGCAGTCAGTGGGTGGCACAGTCACGTTTCTCTTGAGGTGCTTTCACAGATCAGGGGGTTTACCAGGCTCTGACAGATTAACCTACATTTCCCCCCACAAAAAAATGTGCATTTGTTCAGTGCTTGTGTTTTCTGGCCTTTGTAAATAAGTCCTTAAGGATGTCAGATATTTGTTTTCTGCATGAAAGTTCATGCATATTTTTTTCCTTACTACACTGATAGTAATGGTGCTTTATATTTATTTTATAATTTTATAATAGCTTTTCTTGCATTTGATATGTATTGTAGACAGATGTTGGCTTCCCCATGTGCAGGAAAACTTATTGAAGGCTCATTCTTAATTCTGCTATTAATAGTGTAATGAAGTGACAATGGAAGTGCTGTCAGGCTTCACCACATACACACAAACCACAAACTTATATACACAATATAACATCACAATGACAGGAAGTAATAACAATGTTTATCAAATAATATTCTACTAAATGTTATCCCAAGTCTATTAGGAAGGGAGGAAGGAGGTTATTTCATAATGACATGGGGAAAAAAGGTATTTTTACTTTTAAACATACATAAATCAATTTTTGGCAAGCTCAGTCGCCTCTTTCTTCTGAAACTTCACATGCATATTTTTCTTGACAGTTGGCCTGTTGTCCTGTTCTGGCATGTTTCTCAACACAAGGTGCAGACCGGAGGCAGACTCAATTGAAAGTCCACTTTAGGGTCTCTAATCCTAAATGCTCATCAGCTCCTCCTGAGGATTAATCAGGTTTCCTTATGTTTCACAGGGCTTAAAATATGGTGATGACGGATTACTTCACTTCACTTTAACTTCCACCTTCTCAGTGAATAAAAGTCCACCGCTGATTTATCAGCACAGAATGACCTGCAGAGGGAGAGAGAGATACTTCCAGTCGCATCATATATCACATGTCTGGGATCAACTTCAAACTCCAATATTGTCAGCATAATTTATGTCATTCTGAGAAATTAATTAATAAATAAAGATGTTAAGAGTTTAAAATTATAAGAGAAAAGAAGGAAAAAAAACAGAAACACATCCTTAAGCATTTTCCTTCTGCAAAGTCTGTGGTAGATTCATCTCCTGCCAAATTTCATCAGTGATTTTTTTCAACCGCTTATCCACAAATACATGACAAAACACATATGGAGTATAATTTAGTATCTTGGCATTTCCACATGATTTGTAAATGTTAGCAGTGTGTGTACAAAACAAAGTGGCTCTGCTGGTTTTTGCAGATTGATTATCGGGACAAATAGAGCGCCAGCATGAACTGACTTCATTTTCCATGTTGAGCACATTTATGTGTTTACAACAACTAGAAAAATGATAATCTATTTACCTTTCATTAATCATTATCAGTCTGATCTGTGAAACCCTCTCGGTTAATGAAAGTTGACAAACTACTGGCATGAGACAAATGGATTGACTTTGATCTTAATTGGAATTTTCCTGCGCATTACGGTCATGTAATGTAATAATTCAAATGTATGCGCTGAGGCTCCCATGCTCAATCAACGCATGTTTGGTGCCAGTCAAGTGGAAAACCAAAGTGTGTGGTTAATGTCAGGTTTATTTCTTAATAAGGAACTCATCATACATTAGAAGTTTTACTTTGTTTTACTGTTTTTAAAAGAATAATGATCTGTAAATCGTACAGGTCCCATAGTTGAACAAAGGTACATAGCACATGCTGTGGAAATATTTCTCACCCAGAGCTCAAACTACCCACTGGACTCTTAGTAACTATCTGCTAAAAGCTGCTTGGAATGTGGCCCTGACTCGGCTGGCTATAAGCTGGTACTGAAAAGGGAGACGGTGGGAGGTCAGGGCGTCCGTTGTTTACCAACCAGATCAACCTCAATCTGTGAGTGTTTCTGTTGAACCTCCGTCTATCTCTCACTCCCATGGTTTTCTGTTCTTTCATGTCACTCTCCCATTTGTGCTCCTACAATTTACTTTTAGTTGTTGAGGCTCAGGAAATGCCGGTCCCTTATTTAGAATATTTTTTGAGGTTGTTTTTTAATGTTACCTCACTTTTTGACATAATTTTTGTGTCATCAAGATGTGTTAAAATGTGCATGCATCATAACTGTCTGTAGGTTAATGATGTTTAATGTCTATTAGTTTGTGGCTCAGAGTTGGGTTTGGCTAGAAATAATATGAAACAGTATATTTAGATAAAAGAGAGACTTGTGACTTCTTAATGTGTGTTTCTCCCTCTTTCTGTGGTTTGTGACTCTTCTCTAGTGAAAAATGTTGGTTTGGTTTAATTCCTCTGAGGGATTTCAGCTCCCACTTAGCTTACAAAGGCCCGTTGTAACTTGGGTTATAGAAGTGTTATCTTTGGTAATTTTCTATTTAGGCAAGGTCTTCAAGTCTTATCTTAGAACAAGTCTCAACTGAACACCACAGTCTTCCTAGAATTAATTAGGCTTCTGGCAGGACTATATTCAGCCTCCACAGGTAATCGACACTGCAGGCTTCAGTTTTGACACATGATTGGGACAGATGTCCCCGGCAGTATTAAGAGGTAGATGACTTGTCACAATTAATTATTTCTGCACATTCATGTACCCTACCCTTCACAGTAACCCTATTAAAAGATTATTAATTTCTTGTTGTTCTATGCAAACTAATTTCATGCTGCATTATGTGTGTTCATTACAAAATGGACACTTAAATGTGTCTTTCCAACATTTTCATAAAGACAAACATTGACGTTTCTTTTTAAACAGGAACTCTCTATTGTCTGTTGGATTTCATCTAGGAGGTTGGACGATGACTCAACTTAAAGTTAGGGGATGTGTATCTTTTGATATCTTTTCTGATCTTTTTGTCTTACATAATGTTTTTTAGCCAGGTGTGCCTGCCCCTGAACTAGCAGTCCACGACCTCTATCCTGAGGTGATTCAGCCTCCAGCCTCACAGTGGTCAAGCTCCAGCCTGAACAAGCATTACAGAAACGCTGCAGCAATGCTGAGCTGAGATTAGACTGATGGGGGAGATAACCTGACCTGCTCTGCAAAAACTCCATAAACTGTCCAGGACTGTTGTAATGTTGAGGTGTATACCTTATGCTGTGTGTAAGTTCAAAGCTGGGATACACCCTCCAGCTTTAAATGATCTAGCCAGACCTTCACTGTCAGGAGAAAGTTGGGAATCTGTCAGGGCCAGATAAGAAGAATAAAATACTGAGATCATTTTCATCATCATCATCGATCTTCAGAATCAGAATCAGAAATACTTTAATAATCCCCGTGGGGAAATTACCACTGTATTCACAATCATATTACCTACATTCAGGTGCATTGCCTCTGGCTACACCTGCAAAAATCAGGAAACTGACAGCTTACCAGGTAAGAGCCTTGTGCTCTACATCACTTGGGTAATAACCAACTCAAAGAGATGAGACCTAACAAATTATCGCGAGTAATAAACGTGATTTATGAGTCTGCAGCAGGCGCACAGCTCATGCAAGCGTCCCAGGACACCGTCCTATGGGAGGGAAGAGGCGGAGGAGGTGGAGAGCAGAGGGAGGGAGTGAGGGTGAGAGGGAGAAATTGAATGAGAGGGACAGAGCGAAACTGAGAGGAGCCTCCACAACAAAAAACTTCTCCAACAATCAAGCAAGTGGAACTACAGACGCTCTCCTTTTCTTCCCCGCATGGCTGCTGAGTTCCTGCAAATATAACTTCTGCAGTATAAAAAGTTCTGGTGGCGGAGCCAGAGGGGGGTCTCCGCTTGTAAAGATGGACCACTTGATAAGGAGCAGGTCACGCAGGAGAACACCGCTATTTCTTTTAGTCCTACTTCACGTGACGGCGACACAGACTGGTAAAGTATCAAGTTGAACGCTTGCAGCTGAATTATAAAGATGTCCCCGCGCTATAGATGCTAGAATCAGTCAAAATGTCGATTCAGGTCCCGTCAGTTCATTCTGTAAATTATGCAGTGTCGCCCTTATCTGAATTTCCATGACTTTTTTCAGGCACCTTCATTCATCACTTGACCCCCAGCCAACTCGAAGTTATTAGCTCAGACGCATAATCTTTACTTTAATATTCCCACTTTGGATCCTGGTGTGTGTGAGACTGATGTCTGCGCTTTGGATCTGTGTGAATGTTTTGGTGATGGCGCCACTTGCCCAACAGAGTCGCTTCAGGCTCGGATTAAAATTGGGAGCTGGCTCAAATGACTTGTAGAAGTTGTCGGAAGGTTTTTCAGAAGTGTGCAGAGGATTTGCGGTTATGTATGAGCTACTTTCGTACACGCATACATATTAATTAGCCCCCCGTTGCACAGGGTAGCAGATTTTTGATTGATTCGGTAACGGTTTCCTGCTCCAGCTTGCATGTTATTAGAAGATGTTTCCAAGCTTTGAATATGAATGCGTCCTTCCTGCGTCAGGTGTGCTTGGAAGACTTGCGCCGACCTCTGCGGATGCATGATGTCATGTTTGAGTTTGCTTGTGACCAGCGTCGGTTTACTGTGAAAAGGTTTAACGTTGGCTTGAGAAAGAAGTGAATGGCTCAACACTGACCGAACTGAGTAGATTAAAATTCCTGTCATGGATCTGTTTAATGTGCCCTCTGCTCAAATAGGTCTTATTGCCTTAGTTATGATTATTCTGGCACACATCCATATTTTGCATGTTTAATTTCAGGCTACTACCAAAGGTCAGATTTTACACAGTTGTAACTTAAGTGACCCAATCACTCTATATATTGAAGAGTGGAACCGGACTATTATTTCAATTATGCACCTGCAAAAGGAGGGCCTGGTGGTCCCTGCCTGTCAAACAGCTGTGTCTCTCTTTCTGTCACAGTGTCCCGGTGTCCACATTTGCTGCACTTTCAGGCTTGTTCAGCAAGAGCTGCAGCCATTTTAAGACTTCCTTGCTCCCAAGATAGCCAGTAACAACCAACTTGTTCATACATACTGTATGCCATTTGGCCCACTGCTATCTGTCACACAAACAGGCCTCCATGCCCTGTGGCCATGTCCTGAGTATCTTCAACTGGCAGGAGACCATTTCCGTGCAGGTGCTGCGGTTTAGAGACTCCCTGATGAAGCGACATGCCTCAACAGCGGGAGTTAACCCTGTGGTCACCAGAAGTGCTTAAAGATGTCTAATTTTCACCCGTGGCTTTCCACATGCACCCACTTTACGGCTGGCAGGATTTGTTGGAATTCACTGGCTGAAATAAAGCGATGGCAGGAGGGAGAGAGCCAGCTGACACACTCACAGTCAAGGGACACAGCGGCTGGTGTCCACTGCTCTCTAATAAGGGCCTGTGAAGTGAGAGGCTGAGATGATTTGAAAGTGCATTGGACATATGGTGGTGCTGATATGGCAGTCTTAAGATATGTGCATGTGGTTGATAATGCGTTTGTGTCTTTGAGCCTGTGAGTGTTTGTGTGCGTGTGTGTATTACAGTGCAAGAATGTTTTTCCCATATGCTTTCTGTGTGTGTTCGACAGAGATGAGAGAGTACTTTGTAGTCATGTTTGCTGACAGGAAGTGAGACATTCTTGCACACGTCCACAGTTAGTTTCAGTTATAATCCTCTGTTCTTTTGCCTTAACACATTTTTGTTCAGTTTTCTTTTTTTTTTGTCGTTTTTACTGCTCTCTTCAAAGTGTTTATTTTTATTTTATAAATCTTATCTCTTCATTTAAATCATTGTTGCTTATGCACTGCCTCATTTTTGACTGGTTCTATGACAGAGGGGAAATCGTGCGTACAGCCCCCTCACTGTGTCCCGTTTGATCCAGCCTCCTTGCCAGTCCTGCTCCAGACTCCCAAAAGGAGGACAGCGAGCCTTGTTTGCCTTTGATCTAGGAACAAATTAGTGGCAAATGAAAACAAATGAAAAAGGCAGCTGAATTTAGCAGGACAGAGAACAGGGAAAGAGGAATTGTACGCCTCTTACAGCTCTTGTGTTTTCTTCTGTTATGTGAGTTTGTGTTTCTCTAATGAAAACATTAAACATCAGGAGTGTGAGAGATGCTGATATCTGTCCCCTAGTTGCTGATGGTGCAAGTATAAAACTGCTTCCCACACTGTTTGATCAGGCAAAGTGCTTGGATATAGAAATGATGCTTAAACACTTTGTGGCGCCGGACTGCAATCTATAGTATTCAACACACATCTGGCTTCCAGAAACTCTGTAACTCCCTTTCCCTCAGGCTTCTCTGGCTTTGTGTTTCTGATCACTGGATGCTTCAAGGAGCTTTCTGTGGGACTACTGGGAGATGCTTCCTGTAGAATTGCAATGAGCACACATCAGGAGGTGACTTTTTTTTCGGTGTCCCCTTACATATCATATGTGTCTTTATTCCAGTTTATGAGCCTCAGAATTTTTTTTTATCATAGTCATCCATCACATGCTCATGGACATCTTAGCAGAGGTCACAGTTGCAAACTTCCTTACCAAAACCATCTGTAGACTCTTCAAAACAGTATGCTACCCTCAGTAACATTGTGACCCGGCTCATATTTCAACTTATCTGAACCTGCCAAGTGTCCTTTAGCATATAGATACTAAAATGCTGACATAGAGGGTAATGATCTTGGTCTCAAAGAGGCCCACAACTTCTTCTTTAAAGTGTCCCTGACAAGCGCAGAGGAACCAAACTTCTAAAGGAGTATCTGTATATAATATACATGTACTACATATGGTGTGTGTATGTGTGTAGCATATAGGGCTATTCTTTGATTTTGCCAGCTCTGATGTTACACTCCATAATAGCTGCCTCAATGTTATGATGTCTGAGAGACTAAATGATGGCTTGGTGTTGAAACGTGAATGGGCTTGGCCATGTGTAAACTTGCATGTTTGTATCTAGGTAATCCTCTGTGCTGGAGGTGTGTATCCTGTAGATGTGCATAAGAATTGTGAATTTGTATTTTGTTGTGGTGGGGTGTTATATTACATATTTATGAAGACCTGATATTCTCAGAAAGCTAAACAGATGAGAAAAGATCTTCCATTATCAGGATATTTTAAACACTCTCCCCACCTCTTAAAGGTCCAGTGTGTAGGATTTTTTGGTATCTAGTGGTGTAGTGCTTCACCCTTCCCTATCTATCTATCTCTAGAGACAGTTTTTGGCTTGTCCATTCTGGCCTACTGTAGAAACATGGCAGTTCAACATGGCAGCATCCACAGAATCCACGGGTCACGAAAACACAACAATTCTTATCTTCAAGTGATTATACACTAATGAAAATATACCTTTGAATATTATATTGGATATCTGCTAATAGATCCTCCTAAATCTTACACACTGGACCTTTAAAGGGAGTTTAATGATTAGAAAAATGGGTCAGCCTAGGATAGGGGCCAATGTTAGGCATGCAGTTTATAGAATACATTTACTGTAGTCAAAAAATGTCCTCACAAGCATAGAAGTACAGATGTGTGTTCCCGTATGTGTTTGTGTGGAGTGCCTGCCCAGTTAAAGGCCTTGAGGGGCAGGTGTTTTCTCTATGGGCCAAGCAGCTTTTGGCCTGGCGACCTATCATGCGGTGAACAAACATGAGCAGAACAAACTGTGGAGATTGAAAAATGTGGTGCTGATGTGAACTGGAAGGAAATGTGTAACCAGATTCCACTAGAATTTAGCAGCTTCAACACCAAAAGTAGCATGTAACTCGCAGTGAGCATTCGCAACAGGGCACGGCCACTGAAAACTATTCAGTAGAGCACTCTGAGCAAACTCAATTGTTTTTCAGTTATTTTTATAATATGTATAGTCTCCTCATATAGTACAAACGAGCAAGGAATTATGTCAGAGGAAAAAAGTGGCCTACATGTGTGACTCAGATGTAATCATAAGTGCAAAAGATTTCCAAAAAGGCCACTAATGATGATGAGTAAACGTTTTGTAAAGCTAGGTATAGGTGTTTGATATGATACTTTAGCACTTCATACACTGAGGCACTTTAGGTTCAGACATTGTTGTTCATGCCCAGTTTATTATTGTAGTAGGATCAGTCAGTGGATTTCACATATGAGAATGCACATGTACAGGAAATGGTTCAATAATTGTTCGTATACCACATGAAACTTTTGGAAAAAAAAGACAAATTATGGCGCACAGCATTGCTTATCCTGTGCTTTATTCCTCAAATTTGACAATATTTCACTTAATGTAGAAGGCTTTGTCAGAGTTATAGGACGTAAAGGGCAATGCTCTAGTAAAGGTTTTATTGCGGGATGGTCTCTGCAGTGTCATTTGCATGTTGTTCCAGAACATTTCCTGTTGCTGGTCAAGTCAGGTCCAGTCCTCGCCTTACTGGCCATTCCACTTTTTCATTGTCTGAACACACTAAAACCACAGATTTCTTACATCAACCTCTATGTTTGCATATCTTTGGCTGTCTTGCATCTCCTCATGCCTGCAGAGGCTGGAGAACATAATCCTATAAATAGTGCAGTTATAATGTGGTATTACAAACATTTTGGTATCACAGGCTACATGCTTAAAATTGATCAAAGAATTAATGTTAGGCACTATTTGTCACTTTCATCATCACTATTATTGTCTCTTAATAATATTCATAACCAATAACCCTTCTAAATATGTTAAAAACCATTCCAAGCAGTCACAACTGCTGACTTGACTTGCTCCTCAACTCTCTCAGTGATAACTGAAAGCAGACCCAACCACAAAGCACATTCAGGGTGATAAACATCTCTGCCTCTCTGCATACTTCCAGCCCAACAGATGCCTCCTAAATTTGCCTTTGTCATAGATATTTCAACACTCTGTGCTGTTTTAATAACCTCTGTTTACAAGTAAAAGAGCAAAGTGTTTGACAGATAAAATAATACAGTGATTCAGAGAGAAATCTTGACAAGGCCAGAGGTCCAAAGTGCTTTTTTTTCCTTCTGTGGGTGTTATAATTGAGCTACATATAAACACTGTGTGTAGGTTGTTTGGTCATACTAGTGTGAATGTCAGTTTATCAATCTTATTTGGCTGTTCAAGTGTTTAAATTTTCATCTTCTCAGAGTGTGTATTAGCTCTCCTTGCCTCATAGTGTTCTTGTCCACAAACACCAGTGACCCAGACGAAAGGTCACACCCACTGCTAATTAGATTAAGTCTATTCTTTATGGAGCCTAGGAGAGACTGTGTCTGGATTTATTCAACCACTTGCACTGTTCTGTCACCATTTTTCCATAGTTAATCACTATATGTTTTACAGCTTGTCACATTTAAACATTTTTTCTGAAGAAATGCTCCCTCAACAGAATGAAGAGTGGAATTTTAGTAAACAAAGATTTAAAAAGAAAGAAGAAATCCATTTATATAATGGATAGGAATATGATGCTGCCTGTATATCTCTGCTTGATGTACACATGTTCAGCACAGGATCATGTAATATCTTCTTATTTATTGTAAAATGTTTGCACATCTCAAAACAGTAATTCAAAGTTCAAATGTCAGTGCTTTTTTTCCACTCATCTTAGGGTGTGGTCCAAGATACTATGGGAAACTCTCATTGCCCAGATTCATTTTGGCTTTATTTCTTGTTAAAATTCCCCGGTTCCCAGGCGCAATTGTTTTTGACAGTGCAGTATTGTGTGTGTGCAAGTGGTATTTTCAGGCTGAGCTGGGAGTGTAGGTGGTGTGAGTCATGAAGAATGTCTTTGGAGACATTTGCTGTAGAAACACAGAGAACACATTATGTCCATGTATGACTGAAGTGGCGTTTAGTTGTATTGACTGCAAGGCAGGGAGAGACTGTGTCAAGTGTCACACAGCAAGAGAAGATACACAGATATAGACTGTTTGGTGGCATTTCCAAGACATAGAACACGATCTATGAGGTGGAGTGCTCAGCTCTTTTCTGTCAGGAAGACAGTGGACAGCACTTTTGCTGGCCAGACATAGTTATCTCGGAGAAAAAGCACAAGGAAAAAAGAGCAAGAGAAATGTTTCTTATGGAGAATCTGTATTTGTCAGTGTGCATTATGTACCTGCACAGTAATTACATGCTGTACTGTGTGTTAGCTTTTCCAAAATTGACGGATGTCTGTTAAATTGCTGGATGTTCCATCTCCTTCCCATGCACTCTGACCTTTTGGAGTGATTCAGAAACACTCTGAGTCATCAGTCCTTAGAGATTCTACAATGCTATTTGAAACATGTTGAGCCATGTCTTTCAGTGGTGGGGACAGCATGCTGCACAGGCTGCAAGTTCTGTCTATCAGTCGCCATACCAGAGAGTTACTGAAGATGTTGATCTCTTTTATTCTCATCCACTTTTCCTAAGTTTGTCTAGAAGTAACATAATTTTACAGGTGAGATAAGGACACGAATACCACAAAGCCTAATGAGATGCAAGCAAATCCTGCTCAGACAGTCATTGCTGCAGGATAGGTGAAGATGCTGAAAGATCTGGCACAACTTAAGGTGACATAAATGGATCCAAAACAGGAAATAGATAACTTTATTTTATTGATTGCTCCATGGATCCAGACTTCATATGGCTGCCTGCCACTAGCCTTGGGTTTTCTCTTTGACGCCAGAGTCAGGGGTAGTGGTGTTGAAACTTATTTGTATTTTATGTGGGTCTCCCTGTATTCAACGATCATTTGGTGTTGTTGCACACAGGTTTTTCCCACATCTTCTGAATCAGCTTGCCAAACCTATGTCTAAACTGTTTATTTTGCACACTTGGGTGGGATGCCTATTATTCAGTTTAGCTGACAGATCACTGAATGCAGTTTCTTTCTTTTTTTTGAGGAATTTCTGTTGCATGTCTCATATATCTCCCTTTGGCATTGTTGCACATTTTGACCTTTCTCTGTTGTCTTGAGGGTGTCAGAGGTCAGCAGTCACCTGTAAACCCACAGCTGGAACATGTTCAGAACTGGGTGACACAGTGGTTGAGGCAGAAATCTACTTTATGTGGTTCATGGGGTGCACTGATAAATCTTTTGCATATCTGTATCTTTTGATTGCTTGAAATGAAACAGTACTGCTGAAAAGTTAATTGTGTTAGTTTGTTTTGAGGCCATTTTGTCAGGTGCTGTTCCGGATAGGCTGACAAAAATCCAAGAATCCTGTTTAATTAGACCCATGTTGCTTCAATTTAGAACAATATTCTGACTGTTCCAAACATCACTGCCTTATGACCTCTCTTCCTCCCTGTGCACAAGTATGTATGAGAGAGAGAAAGAACAAGATAGATAGATAGATATAGAGAGACAGAGTTTACTAGATTCTAACCTTTGACTAAAACATAAACTTTCAACCTTGAAAGGAAATTGATTTGCAGTCAGGAATCAAGCAAGGCCACAACAGAGCTACAAAGAGCTCACTTGGGATCAGACAAAGACAAAGACACTCCTACCAATTCAATTAAATACAAACATTAAGGATTAGGACCCAGACATGATGTAAAGTGCAAAGTAAACTGCTATGAAGGGATAAAGTGCTTTGACAGAAATGCAGATGCTTACGTTTTTTAATGAAGATTGAGCTACAACAATAAAAGACGAGCACTTTAGCGTGCCATGTGTTTGTATTTTGCTTCGTTTTTGATGATTTTCATAAGTCAGTGTTATGAAGGCGAGTTTTTTGCAATACGTTCACCTTACTGGCCAACTTAACCAGCAATTTCAATATTATTTTATCAGATTGATGCATTAACATTTCACACTCAAAATGAATCTTTCTTCAAATAAGAACTAACCCTGCTAGGTTTTAAAAACTGTGTTAATGTGCCCAAAAACAAAAATGTGTAATTGAAAACAATGTCCTTATTCTTGATTTAAGTGTGGGAGACTGGGCTGTGACCTTTTAAAGCCAATAGATACCTCATTCCTTGACATTTAGTTTTTGGTCCACTGTCACGATGGCTAGAGCAGATTTGAGAATTATCCTAAATGACTGTGTGTGGGTGAACATTTATTGGTGCCACTTACATGGAACAGCCTGAGGTTTCTGATGCCAGCTACTTCTGTAATTATTTAATTTACACAGCTTGTTTATGACTCTGTATAAGTTCAAACTTTAAGCCCCTGGGTCTTAAATACCTTTAGATCTATACCTAATGTTTTCCATTGTTGGAGCCCAGCTGTAATTCACAGCTTAACCTATTTACAGCCCTGTTGCCATGCTAGGGGACTGAGAGGGCAAGCTCTCAAAGCTGCTTGGAATAAATGGCCTCTGCTATTCAAATAAATAATGTCATAAAATGTAACGTGGTGTTTTTCTGCAAGCAATGTCTGGGTAATAGTAAACTCTCTCCACATGTTTAATTAACAAGGAGAATAAAAGGCAAGCCCTGTATGAGCGGCAAGAGCTACAGGAGGCAATTTGGGTTTAGGATCCTCATTTCAGATGCCTGGAATGCTAAGTGCTGAGTTGCCCCGAACAGGCTCTCTTTAGCAGCTGGTGGGAGACTGGCTGCGCACAAAACTCTGATCCTGGCTAATGCTCACGGCAGCACTTTATCAACAGAACATCTAATAACATGACCAGCGGACTGCAAATAAAGCACAGCACATTGTAATGAGAGAGAAACCTATGTCTACAGGGACAACAGTTGCCTTGCTTATTGCAAATAAGCATAATTTGATACTGTATATATTTGCACAACAAAGAAATTTCAATCTTAAAAAAATGGATGAGATCAGTTTCCTGGTTTGTAATAAAATGCAACTTGTTTCAAGAGTTTGCATGAGAATACTAATCAATTAGCTTAATAAATAATGAGATGAGACCTTATTTATGCCAGTGGAGTGTTCAAATTGTGAAAATGCGATGCAGGCATATTGTTGCTCTCTGGTGCAGGCTGAGCGGTGTGCAGGTGTCAGCTGTCAGGTGTGCTGCAGTAGGATTATGGGTTAGGCAGTGTACCACCCCTATCCTATAATAACACCCACAGAAGCCTGGCCACCTGCCGCCACATCTCAGAGGAGCTTGTCTCTTCCGACTGCTAGGAAGCAGGAAGCCTCCGCACTTTAAGACCAGCTTCCAGCCGCACTAAACCCTGCTCTTCAGCTCGGTAACAACCAGCACTTAACTGAGCCAGACAACAAAGTGCTGTCACACTGGCAGAGTTTAAGTGTTAGACTGACATGACTAAAAGCATGCTGCTGCCATCTGCCCAAGCTCTATCCTATTATAAGTAGTTTTTATAGATTGTCATACAACTAGATACAGGAATAGAGAGAAAGCAGGGCGTTGGCTTATTTCAAAGCATGTACACAATATGTTATTGGGAAAAAAAAGTTAGAATTAGCTACAGTCATTGAGCATGAAATGAAAGAAAAAGCACTGTATTTCTTATACTATGCACATAGTTTGTACAGATGGCTCATTTTTTCTTTCTTTCCATTTCCAGCTGATCCCATTGATGTTCTGCAAGTGCTGCAGCTGTCAGAGAACATGGAGGGGGTGTCCATGGAGGCTGGTCTCTGCACCAGCAGGAGGGGCATGGAGGAGACGGACCTGGCCTACAAGATAGACAAAAAGATCCAGCTCAGTGTTCCCACCAAACAGCTCTTCCCTGGTAGTGGACCTTTTTCCTACTAGACCATATAACAGCATAGCCTCCAGTTCCACGCAGCAATGAAATACTTGAGGGTTTCCAAAAAAGTATTCAAATGTGTCACTTTTGTGAGAGATTCTTCTCTCAGTGAAACCTTAAGAAATCTGACTTTGAACTCCCTTTACTACTCCTCGTGGGTGCTCACTTCTTTCATGGGCAATATTTTTCATCATTATTATCTTTACTCAGGTCTTACTGCCAGCGGGTGGTGCCTGCATGTTATAAAAATGTCTGCTCCCTGCTGTGCTCTCTCTTGTATGACTTAACAGCACTCCTCTCCTCTCCTCTCCTCTCCTCTCCTTCCAGATTCCAATTTTCCTGAGAATTTCTCCCTGATGACTACCGTGCAAGCTAAAAAGGGCTCTCAGTTCTTCCTGCTTTCAGTGTATGATGACCAGGGGGTACAGCAGCTGGGGCTCGAAGTGGGCCGCTCGCCTGTCTTCCTCTATGAGGACCAGCATGGGCAGCCCACACCAGAAATGTACCCCATCTTCAAGAGGATCAACCTGGCGGATGGAAAGTGGGTAGTCTGAGGGCCTATTCTGCCTGCCCTTCTATTGATTTTTCAGCACACTGTATTTGATGTTTATGTTCAATAGATCAGATTCACCATTGCTGTGTAATTTATATTACAGTAACGGGATGTTTAATTTCCCAAGAATTGAAATCTGAGGCGGGCCTCACATTTCTGCAGTCTGAGTCATACAGCTCACTTCATGTGCCTGACCTTGAGTGACCTCAAAGGGAATAAGATGCTTGTGGAGTGCTTGCTACAATGATTTGACTTGATCAAAGAGTTAAGGAAATCAATCCTTCACAGTCTCAGGCTCAAAGGCATGTCTGTTTTGCTTGACTTGAAAGAGATGTGAAACATCTCTTTTTATTGCTGGACAGCAGACTTATCTTTAAGACACAAAATACTTCCACTACAACATTTTCACAATACCTTCCTCCAAGGCTCGACTGACTGTTCTCTCTTCTTCTTTCAGATGGCACAGGATAGCCTACAGTGTGCAGGACAGGTCTGTGACACTCTTCTTGGACTGTCAGAGGGTCGAAACACTGGATCTGCTGCGAGGGGAGAACGCTGTAGTCAGCACAGACGGTGTCACCGTGTTTGGGACGCGGCTGCTTGACGAAGATGTGTTTCAGGTAAGACATTATGAAATTGTGGGAGCTACTAAAAACTTATAATAGAGGGTTTTACTTTACTAATTTTTGTATCATACATACATATAGTTTCAACAACTGTGGTTGGGCAGTTATTAGAAGAAATAACAAATTTAAATACACCATGTACTGTGGCCTTTTTAATGCATTTTTGTATTGAGGTAGACAAAGGAAGTAAATGAGAGTCAGTATCATGTGAACTTTGTTATTAAATATGTAGGTGAAACCATGGGAGACTGTTTCACTTGGGTAATATGCAATGCATATTGGCTGAATCATCTCACAAGGTGCTGTAGGGCAACGTCCTGATGACCTTTGTTATATCACTTTTTTTCTTTCTTACTTTATTTGTCAGCCTTTTTCTCACACATTTTATCCGTACTGGTGCTGACTAGAACATTTCTATAGCATTGCCATATACAGTACATCATATTCTATGCTCATTATTATGTGTAACAATATGACGGTGAAATGGTGGTATAAGCAGAATACGAATTGTATTTCAATCAGGAGAGATGAGGGAATAATGATAATAGTTTACTATAACATATGATATGTGATGATTAAGTTTTGATAGAAAGATTTTGGTCACTTAGACTCTACAGGGAGACTGTTGTGATCAAGGGGTGTTTGCCCTGAGCAGCAGAAAGATAAATCCCTCCATGGAGTCCAGACATTGGTGGTGGTGGCTGAAGACTCTGCTGAGACTGACAGACCTATGAAATTAAGAATGAATCTGCAAAGACTGCAATGATAGGGAGGCGGAGGGGTGGGAATAACACCAGCATTTGTGTGGCTGTGGTATTGGTTAGATCTGACCAGCAAGCGGAATACATCCAGGGTGGAAAGAGAAATAATTGTAACTACAGGCTTTTATGTAAAAGAATACCCCCCGCCTTTAAAGCTACTTAAGAAAGAAATGGTAAAAATATATGTAAAATCACGGTTCAAGAGGCAGTGGGGTGACAGGGGTCTTCTGTCAATCAAGTGCTGCTGGGACAAAGCAGTGTGGAGGAAAAGAGGTGTTTGGGAGGGAGTAGGGAGGAGGGGACGTGCTGTTCAGACATGCCCAGCCTCATCATTTCCATTGCCAAAAATTCTCATTCTTTATCTTTTTTGGATTTGTCAGTATACGTCTGTTGGCTATAGATGTGATGATGTGAGTCTGAATGGCCAGCTGTTCATTTGGACATTAAGAAATAGGCTTGACAGTGAATGTGTGTAGTTTGATCCTGCTAAATACCTGCTTCTTGTGTCTATATGTTTTTAAATCACTGAGAAATTAGATAATTTGTTCCTTTTTTGAAGTTGAAATACATTTATTCAGTTCAAGGTTGTACATTAAAACATTAATTAACATCAAACAACTATTTGCTGTGTAAAGATATAGTGGAGAAATGGTGTCCTGAGTTGAAAATGACGTCACATTCCCTTTGCCTGTGTTGTTGGAGCCCCTCTGGGGTTTGTTTACATTGCTGGTCTGCTCCCTATGCAGCTGCCTAGTGCAACTGAAACTGCTGTTTTTCTCATCTACCTCGCTGAATTAACTGTTTATTTTGACCAAAGTGATTTGAATGAATGAAGTCATGTGAGGGGACATTTCTGTTATTGTCTATAAAGTATGGTGAGCAATAGCGATATTATGGCTGTTTGTGGTTAAATAAAAGTTCTGTCTCTGTAGGGATTTTTTCCTGATCCTGTCAGTGGCAAAAACTAGTAATTTTAGTGGACGTACTTTGACAGGTGCATTTGTCCCTAAGGATTAACGTCAGCTTTCGGTGGAAAGACTGACAAAAACAGTTTTGCTGCTTTTATTTAATTTCTGTCCCATTGTTTTGGTCTGACATGTTGGTGCTCTAGTGCGACATCCAGTGGCAAGTGGATTTTGTATATATAGCCTTTAAGAGCATTAGAATATGCGATTGCATGTGTATCACTATTCTGGGAAAATTTAGAAGCGAGGCTAGTCTAGTGGTTCTAATTCTTTTTCTCTGCAGTAACCTTTATTGTCATAAGTCATTCTCTGTGCTTCCCATGACAATATGCAACCCCTGCTCCATTGTCATTCCCAATGAGGCTCCACTCTAAATCTCTCGCCCACAGCATTAAACAGAGATCAGCTCAAGCCCCTTCCTCTGCCTTGTCCTCGGGCTCCGAATCTGCTCAGCAATAGAGCAAGAAAGGGAAAGTTAGACAGTCTTATAAGGTATAGTCATGTTTAGAGAAATGACCATCCTTCCAACCTTCTTTCCTCTCAGTGTCCTAAGAATACCCCCAGTCTGCAAAAGGGAACAGACTGTTAAACTTTAAGTACAGAGGGAGGGTTGTTATCACTCCCTATTGGCCTAATAGACAGAAACCACAGCCTTCTTCCCTTTCACCAGGAGAAAACCAGATGTCCTTGGTCCTGACAAGTGAACGCGGATTGGTTTAGGGTTTTGGTAGTTTAGTCAATAACGACCTTCCTAACATATTCCACCCATTAACGTTACTTTCCCTTTGCCCTGACTTAACTTCAGTTGCCCCTTCTATGCTGTAGGTTACTCTCCGCTCCCTTCCCACTCTTTCCTCTCAGACACTCATAGGCATTCCAGTTTTTAAATTGCTTTATATCCCACTTCAGTTAAGAAATGTGTCTCCTTGTGGGCTCTATAAATTTCCCTTTTCAGAAGCAATGGAGACCATTTAATCTTTGGCCTTACTCCAGAAACACTCCCATGCCCTTATTTATCATTCTATCTGAAGAGTTATGATCATGATACAGTATTTGTGGTGATGACTAATACCCTTCTATCCGCTGATCAGATCCATCCTTTAGGCCAGTCCATTCACTTTTATGGTTATAGTAGTCATGTGTATAAGAGTTTGCACTTAATATAGAACTGAGCCCTAATATCTTGTTCTCTGTGGAGCTGATGAAAAATCCTCAAATTAGTCTTCTGTTTTAGATTTTTCATTGATGATGGTAAAGTTTCAGTGTGTGCATGTACAGTATGTATTCATAGCCATAAGTATATATGTTTGGCTGTGCGTATATTAAGCATCAGTGTTGCACACCTCAGGTGAAGCTGGTACCAGGGGAAGGGAGATTAATCAGGCTGACCTCTGAGCCTCTGTTCCCAGGCCCTGGTTCTGGGGGAGGAGGTCAGTCTTCCGGCCCAGTTCTCCCGGCGTGGGAGCTCAGCATGGGAGCATGGGGACCGTGGTCAGCCACTAATGTCTCTATTGCTTCCAGATTTTCTATAAATGACTACAGAAGATTGGTGTTCAAACTCAGTACTCTCCTTGCATTTGCAGTAAAGCAAACATCAAACTGGCCACAAGTCTGGTTGTGCTCCTTATTGGCCGCTGTGTGCCCTGTGTATGTGCCTCCAACACGCTGAGTGCTTAGATAAGATCCAGCCCAGCGTTTATTTGTTAGGAAATTCAGATCCTTTCTGTCTCGATTAGTCCTGGAAATAAGAAATGTTTTTGGCTCACAGTCATAGCCATGTTGAAACCATGACTTGTCAAGCATATCATTAAAGGGAGCTTTATTTGAATGTTTAGCAACCCCACTGATTTACTTCACAAATCGGAGAAACACATTAAATTGGTCAAGGTCTGTCATATTTTGCCTTGTTAATGACTTATGTCTGATGGTGGTCAGATGTTTTTTGGTTAGTCGTGAGCATCTGTTGGACTTTAAGCAAAACAGGAGCATCAAAATTCTGTTTCATTACGGTGTGTGTTATAAACTTTCAGTTGCTCCTTTACCCCCACAGAGGTTGTGACTCACACAAGAACACAAGTTATTTTTTAGAGATTAAGATCTGATTAAGGTACTGCAAATGAGTGTGCAGCACCTCACATACAGTCTAGTTAGTTGTGATTTGGTGGTGCATTATGACTCTCGGCTAGCTGGCACCACACACCTTACTGCAGACAGCAGGGGAAAGCAAAGAGGTCACTCTGACTAATGAACCTGTGCCAACTGAGCCACGTGTGAGCTCTTGCAGGATGTTTGTGAGCCATCAGAAATTTGTGGATTCAGCTGAGGTGTTTTCCTTTTCAGCACGTCCTCACATGTCCTCTTCAGATGTCCTTACCTAGTCCCAAATGGACAATGGCAGAGCACACATATTTTTGGGCAAAACTTTATACGCTGTTTGTTTCTAGAGGAGAGAGCCCCTGCTCGGCAAGAAAAACAGGAAAACTTCTCTGTGAACGTGTTGCCTTTGATCTCAAATTGAGATTGGATTAGATGGGATTAACTCCCTGTTGCCTTTCTCTCTCACTCTTTCCCTCAGTCTCTGACCTTAGAGGCCAAAATTTCATTTTGCTTGACTTGAACTCCTTTCATGTATGATGTATTAAAGCAAAACATTTTTTTTTTCCGAGGTTAACAGTTTTGTCTATGGTGATCCAGACGTGTTGCTGATTAAGCAAGATTTTAGCTGTATTAGAAGATATATGAGCTGGTGCCGGGTAACAGGGAGGCGTTATGTTTTGATTCATTTCACCTCTGGCCGCTAAAGCCTAATTAAAGAGATTACAATGGGACTAATTACCACAACATCAATCAGTTAATCTGACTTGATTTATCTCAAATGGCTGCCCAGCTGTCCCTGGATAACATTTCACCTGGAAATATGTTTGCTGTGGCCTGTCAGTTACATAGATTCATATCTAAGATAATGTAATCCAGCCCTTGTCAAACACTGTATCATGGGGCTGCCTGCATTTAGTAAATATTGAATCACTTTCTGACTTGTGTTGTGAAGAGAATTAGCACTGCAGTTATTTTTACTATGAATTATATTGTTTTATTCATTATTCAACCTATAAAATGTCAAACATGACAAAATGCTAATGCCCATCAAAACATATTAGAGACAAATTGTTGCATTAATATTGTTTTTTGACTAATAACCTATGTTACAGAGAAAAGCATTTGTAAACCATCATGTTTGGTATTTTACTTGATAAATTACAATCTTTGCTTTAGTACATCAACTGACTGATTAATCAACTAGTTATTTCAGCACTACAAAGCATTATGTAATAATATAATCTGGACAGAAGACAAGAGTGATGTTGAGTGCCAACCAGCCAACCAACGCTCTGGGCTTAGTGCTGCAGGGTCCAGCAGCGCTGTCTTTGTGCATGTTTGTGTATACACACTGGCTATGCCTCCAGGGCAGGATGGGAAGTGAAAGGTCCTGACAGGGGGGTGAGAGAGTGCTATTTGACTGTTTCAGTACACACTTATGCCCCTCCTGTAGTCATAGGGACACAGCAAAGTAATAGTCAGTAGTAATTGTACCTGTGGTGACAGTTTGATGATGGTACTGTAATACACACTGCTGTACATCGAGGTATGCAGACAGTTTTGTTGTTCTCATAGTGTCTTTGATGTTGTGGTGTATTGTTAAAAATCTTCTGGTCCTTGAAATATCTCTTCACTGTGCAGTATCAGCTGTTGTACATTTATGTCTGCTTCTCCTGTATGCTTGGACTTATAACATGACATTTGTCTGTCTTTCTGTTTGCTTTCTGGTTTATTTCAGGGAGATATTCAGCAGCTACTGATTGTGGAGGACCCACAGGCCGCTGCCAACTACTGTGTCAACTACATACCAGACTGTGACTCTGCTTTGCCCTACAACAGCCATGCCCTGGAGCTACAGGAGGTCAGTACTGCCACCAACAGGAGACAATGCCTGCTGGAAAAACCCACGCAAATCTTTGTTTAGTTCTTTGACACTTGATACGCTGGAGTATAGCTTCAGGTTACCTCAATTAACTGCATAGGCTTGCAGAAGCCCTTGCTTCACAGCCAAGAAGTAAGCAGTAGAAGGAGCACAAGCTATCTATCAATAGACCTATGTGTCCCTAAGACTTCCCTAAGAGACAACAGCCCCAGCCAAGAAGAGGTCTGAGTACAGTGCAAATGTACTGAGTGTTTGCAAAAAGAGACTTGAGAGATTAAGACAGAATAGGCCATCAGTCAAAGAGAAGTGTCTTCTTTCAAATGCAGCCAGCAGTGGAGGATTCTTAAGGTCAGGTGTTCCTTTGGCAACACACACACACACACACACACATCGAGCCAGGAGCATAACTCAAACATGATATAATAGCTCTTCCCCTCCTCAAGGCAAGCATAAAATATTCAATCAATCATGGATATAAATTACTGTATATTTCTTTGGTTGTGTGAAAGATAGAGATAAGGAGGAAGGAAACAGCCAGAGGAGTTGAGGCAGAGAGATGTGAGTGTTTGTGTGTGGCTGAGCTTGAAGGAACTCACTGTTTTAACTGAACTTGAATGTCTCATGTATGTGTCTATCGTGTCTATATGAGTGTATGTGTGGACACGTGAGTATATGTGTGTTTGCACGCAAATGTGTCCATAGATGGTTCATTAATGGTAGTGTGAGCCCATTTCAAAAGTCATCCAGCTGGATTTTATTGAACTACAGCTGAGCAATGAGCTCTGCATCCAGAATTTGTCAACATCTGTCACCCCACTGACCTACTTCCCATCATACTGCCTTACACAGTGACCTTGTTTACAAGTGGATCTAAATCATGTCTGATGTCTTTCACAGACTGGGCCTTCAGCGTAATTTTCAGGCAGAGCCTATTCATATCACTGACATGTAATGGACATTACTCTGGAGGATGACACAACCCATATTTGCTCACTTGCCAGAGCACACTAAGAATTAGCACCTCTGTAAGATCACAGACAGGATGACCCCTGACCTCACAAGCAAATAAGTCTTCTGCTTTGACTAAGAGGACACAACTCTACATTTGTTTGTTTCTTCTCATTTGATGTTTGCTTTAGGTTTTTACCAGCTCAGTGGGATTAACAGTAGGTATCTGACCCAAAGGGGTGTCAGGACCTGTATGCATTGCTTCACTTTACTGTTGCAGGCTATTTCCATTATTGTATTTTAATTCACAACAGTGTTTATTTTTTCTCCATCCTCCACCTGTGCCCTCACCTTACGTTCCCCTTTTTATAAAAGAACTCCCAACTTGGGTCTGATGCCTTGATGCAAAGTGACGAGCCTGCAGAACCAAAGAAGCACTCCAAAAAGGACAGCAAAAGCAAAAAGAACAAAAAGAAGAGGGACAAGGGCTCTAAAGGCAACGGCAAGGGTAAAGGCAAGGGCAAGAAGGGATCCAGAAAGAAAAAACATGAAGAAGAGGCTCTTGAGGATGTCTTCCTCAGAGTGTCCACAAGACTGCCTGAGTATCTGTCCCAAGAACCTTTTCAGCCTACAAAGCTGCCAGAAATTAGCACCCTAGAAACTGTCATCCCCACTGAAGTCTTCAGCAAGACCCTCATTGTGATGCCCACACACAAATCTGACTCTACAACTGAGCCCCCCACTGTGGTGCCCAGTGCATTGCCTGAATCAAAGGTTGCTGAGGAGGTAGACAAGTTTACCTGTAGTTGTTCTCCACCCGACCCCCTCCTGCCATTTGCAGTTCTAACCGATCACTCCCCTAATACCTCCTAACCATAGAGAGCACCTCTTCTCTCTCCAGCTGCTTACCACCACCACCACCACTAACCAGCACCATCCTAATCATCACCTCTTCCTCATCCCTACCAGAAAACATGAAGAATGCATCTGAAATTAGAAAGTTTTGATCATCTCACTACATGTAGTGTACATTTTTGTAGAACATGCAGTAGTACCTGAAAGGCATATCTGAAAATCATGGTATGCATGGTACATACAATTATGTCTTCCTGTACACAAATATACATAAATCGTTTAAATAATACTGTACACGCTGTTATTTGGCCGTTATGCCACAACAACTGTATAATATACATCATTTAAATACACATATAAATGATATACAGTGTATATCATTTAAAAAAAATCCAATATATTTTCAACTTCCCACAGCAACAAACAAGGAATGCTTCTGTATGTCTCCTTCATGTTTATTATTTTCTAATTTGCCAAGAAAACTAATTTTTCATGCTGTTTCTGCAGCCATTGCAGCCATGCTGCCACATGAATCTGATCATCAGCTAATTACACTCCAGCATTGTAATTAACTTGCACACCTGTTGACCTGTATCCCGGATAATGAGCACTTTCCCATAAACCACCTGTTTTTCTAACATATCGTACATTACAAAATGTACCTTTACTTGGCGGCACTGGGTGCTAATAAGAAATGCTCAGTGTCCCCTGATTTGTCTTTTCTATGACTCATTTAAGCATGTGTTGGCCTGCAGGAGGGCAAGCCAGTGACGAAGCCAGTGGTGGAGGCATATGGAGATGACCTTTATGGAGACCTCTATGATGATCTCTCAGTTTCCACGGTAACAGTGGGCCCGAATGTTACTGAATATGAGGTAGGTTAAATGCAAATACAAGAAATGTCTTCACCTCAGCACAGAAACACTGAGATGTTATTTTGGTATTCACTACACCTGTCACTAACAGAGTTTTTCATTTCATAACAGGTTCTTGAATATGAAGATTTCAAGAATGACACAGAGTCAGAGTATGAAGAGTATGAAATATTTGAGGACGCCTTTGACTTTGCGGAGCGGGAAAGAGCAGAGACGTGGAATGGAGAGGTAAATTTCAAAGTGAACTCATCAAGTGAGTGGTCACGTCTCCAATTGCCTGTGTCAAGTGATTTCTAACAACTCACATCTATTCATCTGTTTCTCCTCCTCAGGCTGGCCTCAGAGCAGAGAAAGGCCAGAAGGGAGAACAAGCCATTATTGAACCGGTGAGCTGCTAGAGGCATTCAATGAATAGTCTAGTAGCTTTAGTTATGAGCATGGGTATGAGTTAAAACTCTGCTAATGTACATATCTGTGCTTGTTTCTAGGGCACATTAATAGAAGGACCCCCAGGTCTACCAGGGCCAGAGGTAAGCCTATTCACTGCCTGAAAACAAAAGAAAATGGAAATGTCTTGTCTCTGTAATTGTACAGGATGTGGCATAATGTTACATAAGCAGGAACTGTCCAGATGTGATTCAAAATATTTTGGATTCAAGCCATCAGGATGCAACTGTGGTGTTTTTAGAAAAGGAAACAAGGTTTTTGAAGGGTGAACATCCGATAGTACAACCCTGCACTACTGTGCAATGAAAGATGGTACATTGTGAAAGAATCTTTGATGACATTTTGTATACATCTATTAATACACCACTAAGTGACCTCTAAAGGTACATCATTTCAATAAAGTAAAAGGGTTTTGATTCAAGAAAATAAAAATAAAATAAAGAAATAAAAGTGTTGTCAAGTATTTGGAGGATTAGAATATAATGTAAAAGGTTATCATTTCATTTAAGTAAGACACCATATTGCAGTCTTCCTAAATGTTTGTTTGAGTGCTGTAAATGGTTCCTTCACAGGGGCTCGCTGGTCCAGCTGGACCCACAGGCCCTCCAGGACCCAGGGGAGATCCTGGTGAATTGGTGAGTGTGGCTTAGGCTTGGACCTTGACCCATTGGGTTACTTTGACCCCAGTTTGACCCCGTCACCTTTGGGACAGAGCTGTGGGTTCACTGTGACCTCACATTGAAACATGTCCATGGGATCATATTGTCCTGGTTCAGAACTGAACCTGGTGGACTTCAGGGATGGATGTTGACTCACACATGTTTGACCTGATTTTCTTTTGTGTGTGTGCACTCCAGTAAGTGTAGTTCATGATTCATCGCAATGGAACACACTCCAACACACACACACACACACACACACACACACAAGCTGACAGATGCTCTGTCATTTCCCAGTTGTTGATGGTTTTTATCATTTTTGCTTTGCAAAGATGTTGATGGCAGTTTATTACCAAGCAGATCTGCATTGCTTGCAAGGACATCACCCTCAGTCATTGTACACACCTTTAGCAGCGATGTACATTTCTGGTTCAGCCCACTTAACAAACAAACCTCTATTTTATTTGTTGAGATGAAATCTGAAGACAATGGTGGATATCACTGGATCTGACACTGATATCAGTAAGTGAGGAAAGGATAAACAAAAGCAATATATCTACAAATAATCTCTTTATCCATTGCTTTAAAAAGACAAGAATATTAATCAGTATTATTTTTTAAAAGGTGAACTGAAGCTGAAAAACTGAAACAAAGGATTATACTACTTCTTTATATATTAGATGTACTGTGTCTTGTCCTTACTATCTTAGCCTAATTTATGAACATTCATATATAGGATTATTTTTACATCCTAGTATAATTGTAATGGCATAAATGAATTGTAACCTATGATGAAAAAATGCAGAATTTGTCAACCAAAGAATTGGTTCAATAATTTTAAAGCAGAGATAACCTCCAGGTCCTCCTGAAACACAGATTTTGGAAGTATAACATGTAAAGGAGTCAAAGCCATAGGGAAGGAACTCTTCCTTTGTTCATGCTGCAGCATGCGACTGTTTAACACACTTAAGCCTCTCCACCAGTGATTGTATGAATTAGCTCAGGTCTTTAAGGCTTAATGTAACACTTATAGTGATATCTTGTAGACATTTAACGCTTCAGGTAGAAAATCATAAGCCTGCTGCATAGTTTACTAGAACTCCCCTTGACAACAGATTTTATTGCATATTCGGGATTATCATATAGATATTTTTAAAAGCAAATAAAAATGTTCACCAGTGAGATAATATCTCCTAGAAACAAGTGTCAGTTATTTGACACAAGAGATTGATGCATAAAAAAAATATTGTATTTAATTTATTTTAATCCCTACTGTAGGAATGTATTTTACCAATTTAAATACCTATTAAATAATTTAACAGTAATCTGATGAACACAATCTTTATTACTCAATGTTACATTACATTACTTGTTAAAATGGATATTTACAATGTGTAAACAGAAGATAAAGCAGTGTGTGTGTGTGTGTGTGTGTGTGTGTGTGTAGGTGTTGTGTGGTGTGTGAGTGTGTGTCTGTGCGACATGCCCTGTGGGAAATGGAGCAAGAGGTTGTTTTGTTTTTACAGTGATTAGGTTACGGCCTTTTCTCTCTCTCTTCTCCTCTCTCTCTCTCTCTCTCTCCTTTTCAACACACACACACACACACACCTACACACACACACAAATCGTCCTGACAGTAGCCAAGGCTTATCCCTTTCCCTATGCTCTCCTTTCAGGGTCCACCAGGACGTCCGGGTCTTGCTGGGATTGACGGGATTCCAGGTCCTCCAGGAACCCTGTTGATGCTACCAGTAAGACCTTAAAGCACACTTCCTCACTTGTGCACACACAAACACAAAGAGAGCACACCTTTTCCCAGTGTGGAATAGTGACATGACCACAAGGGGGGGCTGTGTGATTGAACTTCATTTACATTTGGGGAATCCTGCAGTGAGGACTGATTCCTTTTTTTTTTTCATTGCTCCCAGTTCCAGTATGGAGGTGATTCCCAAAAGGGACCAGTGGTGTCTCCCCAGGAGGCGCAGGCACAGGCTATACTGCAACAGACCAAGGTACACTTCACACAAACCCTTACTTTGGTGTCATCATGCCATATTATAGGTATAATCTGTGACATTTTCATTTGATGCTGTATGAAGAACAATTCCTTGCGTATTATAATTCAAAAGGCACCTTGTGCAGCGTTCATAAACCACCCTGTTGTGTTTTTCTTTCAGCTGTCACTGAAGGGACCTCCAGGTCCACTGGGTCTTACAGGGCGACCAGGCCCACTGGTAAGGCACTCCTCTGACCTTGACCAAATATGCATCATACCTCAAGGGCTCCTGTAACCTTTTACCTCAACTTCACATTCTGTTTGACCAGGCACAACCTCTACTGTCTCCTTCCCATCCTAACCCCATCATTGTGCATGCTCAGTATGTTCAAATCGCTGTGGTTGTGAAAACACTGCAGGGTTGCAGAAATTAACAGATTTGTAAGATGATTTGTTCTTTGCTCATTTGTATTTTTCGTTGTTTGGTGTTGAATTGCTCCTTGCAGTACTGTCATGCTTTAATTAATTCTTGTTTTTATTTTATAGGGTGTTCCAGGTCCCTCTGGGCTCAAAGGAGACAGCGGAGACAATGGCCCTCCTGTAAGACCAGTCATTCTTTTTTCCCTCACTACTAGCTTTCACCATACCACTCTATTTCTTGTCACACTATTCATTTTTTGTTACATTTTTCCATTCCATGTCTTTCTCTTTTTCTTTTCTTATATAGGGACCACATGGGTTGCCAGGCTCTCAAGGAATTAATGGAAAGCCAGGAAAGAGGGTGAGATATCTTGAGTATTAACAAAATGTCCACACTGAAAACCTCTGTATCTGCATCTTGTGTTAAAACAAAACCTATTTAAATGGATTGTGTGTAGGGGCGTGCGGGAATGGATGGCGGTCGTGGAATTCCAGGTGAAACAGGCTCCAAGGTAAGCTCCTTTAGACATCACTGTAGTGCAAAGCTGTAGTTATAAGTATAGGCATTTACATCTTATTTATATATTTGAATACTAGTTGAGGTTAATAGTTGTTTGAATGCTACATTGCCAGTTGTTAGAAGTTTCCATTTTTTCAGTTTCTTGTTTCCATGAGCACAACAATACCACATGTGTTTATGCAGCAAGGCCTGGTATGATAACAAAATCTCCACTTGCAAGTGTAAGGCTTTAGGTATCCAGCAGCCTACAGCCTATTATATGTATGTATTGACAATAAGGCAACTCAATACCTAACAGCTGCAGGAAGAGCTTAGTAAATAAATCAGCCTCCCCTGACAGAACAGCAGAGTCTTTATCAGTCAAAGCAGCATTTTAGCAGACCTACAGCTAATCTGAAAGCTCCCTCTCCCTAACACATACTCGGAGCAGATGGGAAGATCTGCCAGGGGAGACTTTCAGTACAATTCTGCTAATGTTTACACATTACCGTATGTGTGTGTGTTTCAGGGTTTAATGCACTTGCTTCTCTATTACTCTTCAGGGTGACAGGGGTTTTGACGGCCTGCCAGGTCTCCCAGGAAACAAGGGACACAGAGTGAGTTAGATTTGGTAACTTAACATTGCCACTGCATTTATTTAGTCATTCAGACACTAACACACCAGCATGGCATGCATGAATACCTTACACATCATATAGCAGATGTTTATTTGCATATTATGATCATGATGATTGTTCTGATTTCTGTGATGACAGTATACTCTAAAAAGCATCTGCTTGATGCAACTCTGCTATAAACAGAACTGTCCTAAATATCTTGAGGCTTGTGACTAATGCTTTTATCTTGTAGGGGGACAGAGGAAAGCCTGGTCCTCATGGGCCTGTTGGAGAGCCAGGAGAAAAAGTGAGTGCACAGTACTTTACTAAATTTACTTGCAACAGAAAACACATTTCGCTTTGATTTTTTCAATTTTTCACTGAAGTTTAAAGGGAAAACGTATTAACTAATCAATTCTATAATCCATTTAAATGTTGAAGCACCACAGATCAAAGCAGGATTTGCTGTAATTAAATAATAATATAAGCAAATCATTTTTTTAAATTCTGCTGCCCTGAGATCATTCACTATCAAGGTTCACAAAAGACATGAAAGCAGTGCAGAGCATCCCTGACATAAAATTGAAAATATGAAAGATAGACGCTCTGTCAAGATAGTATCAATCCATGCAGGCGGGCCAGCGAAGTTTAGAGAGCGGTCTATTAGTCTTTGCTCGAAGATAGTTGAGCCTTATCTGTCAGGCCGTGAATTTCTTTAATGAGCTATTTTCCCAGATTTTTTATTACTTTATTTATATCCTCACAGACTGTCTGTGGGGATATAAATGTATCCAGGCCTGAGGTTGAGTTAGAGAGGTGCATGAGATTTATGTGTTAAATCTGTTTCCATCTTTGTTATTTTAGGGATCTGATGGACCTGTGGGGCCAAGAGGACAGCCAGGCGAACCTGTGAGTAAACACTTCTGGGAGGATATAATGCTCACTCATAGACCCCTACATCACAGCGTTCCACTACATCAAACCATTTAATATCTATTGGTTTTCTATATTAAATACTCACTGTAGACGATGTACTTATTAAGTCTGTGCTTTGGGTTATCAGGGAGCCACTAACACACAAATATTTTTCTAAGGACAGAATCGCAGAAACAAATTATTTTACATCACTGGGTTTAAGCCAAGATTATGGCTTAAATCCAGTGATGAGAACTGGACAGGGACAAGAGAACTTATAGAGGTACAAAATCTGCTCATACCTGCAAAGTAACTTTGGATCATAGAGTCCACAAAGATCTTAAGATCACCACTGAAGAAGCTGTCGTTTTCTCTGTGCATCTCTGTGGCGAACACTGGTTGATTGGTTATGATTCACACTCCATCTTTCTCCCAGTAGGTGAGACTGGGGCTCAGCGGGGTTCTGTCCCTCCAAATGGATCACCCAGTGCAGGAAGAAATAGAGTGCCATAAGACATGTTAGGAAAGCTGTGTTAAACTAAAAAGATACAGGAACGGAGAGGACTTGGTCGTTTTGATGAGAGAGAGGGAGTGATGGGAAAACACGAGACAGAAATTTGGTTGGTGGTGAAAGAGATAAGAGAGATGGAGAGAGCAAAGCGAGAGAGTCGGAGAGGGAAAAGATAAAATCCTGGCCTGAATGATTATATTTCCATATCAATCACTTCCCAGGAGATCACAGATGTGGCTTTGGAACAGGTGGCTTGGCCAGCCTACAAAGAGGGAGGCTGACAAAAACAGAGCACACAAACACACTCACACAAACACAGGCTAGTGCAGTCTCCGTGGCTACCACATACAAAACCAGATGCGCCCACACACACACACACACTAAAATATATTATGTGTCCCTGTTTTACACTCTCTCTCTCTCCTTAGTTCTGATTTATGATTTAGTATTCCACGCTCACTCCATCTCATCATGAATGCAGGTTAGCTACTGACTATTTGCTGTGTTTTGTCTCCAGGGTCCTCGGGGTCTTGTTGGACCAAGGGGGCCACCTGGCCCGCTAGGCCAGCCAGTAAGTCAACATCACCTTGATTACAGAATCAGAGCTATTCAGTCCTTTCAACTCTATAAAAGATGCTCTAGTTCATGGAGTCATCAATATGCCACTGAGGATAAACAAGGAAGCTATCAAACTGGCTGTCTTTTCTCTATCAAACTTTGACATTTAATCCATTATTTTCTGACATCTTGTATGTGTGCATTTTCAGGGGATTCATGGAACTGATGGAGTACAAGGGTCAAAGGGCAACCAGGTCAGTCCTGCTACCTTAATAAACACATCATTTATTCCCCATAACACCATTATTTACCACTGATGATTATAAACTATATGTCAATACTAAATGTAAAAAATAAATGTTCAGTAAGAATTTATGTTTTGTCAAACTGATCCCAGCTACAGAAACATCAGCAGGAGTGGCTTAGTTTGGACTTCTAATGAACCTGTTAACTGGTCACATTATGAAAAAGATCATGTGGAGTCTCACTACCAGTGTTTCTTGTTGTCAGGGTCCAGCTGGAGACATAGGGCCCCCAGGTCAACAGGGAAACCCGGGAGTGCAGGTACTGTACCAACACATAAAAGCGGTCCTGTCACTGTGACAGTTAATCCACTTATTGCACCTCCTGTTAATGTATTCAAGTCATACAAACATACTTCATTTTACTTTATACTCATTTTCTGAAACTTCCTGTTTCTGATTATTTTTATATTTCAATTCAGCTGAAGGTTTACTCTGTCGTCTATAGGTTTATTTCTGGCCTTTTGGACAAAATGTATTCAGAACAAAAGGCTGTTGTATTTGGAGATGGAGAGGTTTTCATCCCACAGCATCAATATTAATGTTATATAAAGACGATTTAATCATATTTTCAATTCATCATGTCAACAATCTATCCAAACCCCTAGCCCACACAAGGACATCCAGACATACTGTTCATGACCCTTAGAGACACACATAACCATTTATGCACACACACAAGCAGACTCAAACCTCAACTCCCAGCCGTCTTCTGGTCTTGTGACACTTAACCTGATTGATGCTTTGTTCTGGTCCAGGGCTTGCCTGGTCCTCAGGGTCCCATTGGAGTGCCAGGAGAGAAGGTAGGTAGCATGTCTCTCACTTAATTTCAGAATTAAAGCTGTGACCTTGTGACCTCTGTCATCACATACCCAGGGGAGGCCGGTTGAGCTGGAGAGTACGGTCCAACCACTTCTGGCTCCCATTCAGACAAGACAGGGCTAGACAGCAAATCAATACATGAGAAACACACACAGGCATAACAGACACTAGGGACGGTCTTAGCCGGTGCACATCATGAGGCTAGACTGATAAAAGAAATAAAAAGTGGACTTAGTCATAAATACAATATGTTTGGTAAAGGAGCAGCAAAGTGGGAAATGTGGTCTCTCTGGAGTAAGTTAAGGTGCTCTATCGTGTCTGAAGCTCAAGTCCAGTATTCATACCACTCTCGTTGTCCTATACAGGGTCCCCAGGGGAAACAAGGCATGCTGGGACTACCAGGAATTGATGGGCCTCCCGTAAGTACACACAGACACACAATACATAAATGCACGTTAGTTTTGTCTTGTTTTTTACAGAATGGGTAAACACATACAGACATACATACTAACTATAATTTCAATCTATTTCTAACTACATACAAGCAAAGACTTCCAGTATATACACTGCTTAATGACTTTATCAATTGTCCTAAGAGGACTAGACCCAGACAACCAGAATTTTCCAAATAAAAACTCACATAATGCTACACAAACAATCAAACTGTGTATGTATACACAGAAGTTAGTTGATCATAGGTAGCCAAAAGGTCAAATTCACCAACCTACACCTTCTGTGGCCTGCCAGTGGGGAGGGGACACAGGAGGCATTTCTGCAATTGATGCAAAGCAGTGTGACACTTGCAAAACACTGCAAAATCTTCTTACAGTGAGTCTTTTATCATCTCCGAGAATTCATTTTAGATTGCAGTCAGACACATTTCAATGAGTTTCACTTAATGCTCCCTCTATTGTTCTGCAAAGCTTTGTGACACACAATGATATTTTTATGGCACTCTACTCTCAGTGCCCGCTGGTGTTTCTTCTTTTTCATTGGTTGGTTGCATTCAGAAATTTCCACCAAGGCGTGATACAATGATGATGTATTTGCAGCAGTGCTAAGTCAATCGAATTTCTGTTTTCCTGTTTTAGGGTCACCCGGGAAGAGAGGGCCCCCCAGGAGAGAAAGGCATCCAAGTGGGTAACTGCATATCTGAGGCTTGTCTACTGTCGTGTTACAGCAAGATATTAAAAGTGCAATATCATGCTGTTTCTTGCAATCTATTGTAACTGTGCACTAACTCACATTAGGTTACAATAATGCTCACACTCATCATTATAATCATTGTGTTCCTACCATCATCTTTATTGCACAGGAGCATTAGCTCATTAGAGTCAGTAGCATGCACTCAAAAACGATTATTTACAACAAAGAATAGGACACAGTGAGTGAGTGCAATGCTCATTCATATCTGGTCGGACAAATGCATTTTTTCTGGCTGCTGCTTGCTAAGACTGTTGTTCTGTATTTTGTAGGGTTTACCAGGTGCGCAGGGGCCTGTTGGGTACCCAGGGACACGTGGAGTCAAGGTGAGACATAAATGCATCATGATCCCAAGTGTAATGTCCACTGAGATGTTTATTCCCTCACACATTTCATCCTGCGTGTATGTCTGCCTGTGACGGACAAGCTGTTTGAGTCTATGAGTGACAGGTGACAGGTGGAGGAAAAGCACCTCGGTTCCTCAAGGGGACTGCTAACAACAGAGCGAGGAGCATTTGACGGATGGGAGATATGTCGGAGTCAGATAGAGCAGAGCTGTGTGCGTAGTTGTGGAGCAGTCCATTTCAAATAGTGAGGAATAAAAGTGAAGTTGTCATGAAATGGCATTCTGCTTGGTGTTTTTGTCACATTTAGAGATCTGGTATTTTATCTGGTAGTTTGGCTCAATATCCCTTAGGGAAGCCTGACCATGTAGGCAACCATTAGTATGAAATGAATGTAAGGTCAATAGCTGCACAATAACAGACCAATGTTAGGTCAAGAGAAAATCAATACACACTTATAAATCATTTCAGTGTTTTAGGATGAGGAATTTCTAGGAATACAGACAACCAATGTTTTTTTTCTCTGTGATGTCCAGAGTAGATTTGTCAGTGATGATTCTTGTTAAACTAAGTGTTTCTCCCCACTTTTTCACAGGGAGCAGATGGAGTTAGGGGTCTAAAAGGGGGAAAAGGAGAGAAGGTGAGTGAAACAGAGTTTTTATTCTGTAGCTTGTTGTCAAACTGTGGATTGTGACTGGTAGGACACTTGACAGTTTATAATGTAATGATGCCATTTGTCATCAAAGAGCTTTCAATCACCTCTCCTCAATACATCACAGGGAGAAGATGGCTTCCCTGGGTTCAAAGGTGACATGGGCATCAAGGGAGACAGGGTGAGGGAGCCCACAAATTGCAACCCTCAGTACCATTTTCTTTCTAGTGGAGTGGAGATAAAATTGTCACTTCACTTCTACTCTCATTCTTGACTTCAGGGTGATAATGGAGCTCCTGGTGCTCGTGGAGAGGATGGACCAGAGGGGCTAAAGGGCCAAGCAGGACCCATGGGAGATGCAGGAGCTCTCGGGATAGCTGGCGAGAAGGTACATTTTTAAAAGATTACAGCTGCATTACAAGACAAGGTTAGGACACAAAAGAGGAAGATAGGGAGATCAAATAGGCTGCCAAATTGTAAGAAACCTCTTATCTAAACCCGCTTTATGATGCTACAGCCATTATAATGTTAGGCAGTACAGTTCTTTAGCTCAATTTTCCATTGTGACAAAACTTTCTTATAAAATGAGTGTCTGAGAATCACTGAAATACTGAACATATGGATTTTAATGCCCTCACATTTATTACATCTGGTTACAGCCCATTCCTAAGGCAAAACTGCCACTAAACCAGTGCGCATGTTTAAGCATTTAATCTTTCTGTCATCACTCTATGCATTAATTTAGAGATATCCTGCTGTATTGGTACATGCATAGTCAGCAGTATGTTGTAAAAATCTTAATTGAATGATTTTCATGCACTTTTCCTTTTAATATTTCTCCTGTTTATTTCTTCCTCCCCTAATATTCTGCCGGTCTCTGCAGGGTAAACTTGGCGTGCCTGGATTGCCAGGATACCCAGGAAGACAAGGTCCTAAGGTGATTCAGCATTGATGAGCTTTTATGATCAGTTAATGTGTCCTCTGGTTCCTTTATCAGAGCTTTAACTAGCAAGATGTGTGTCTTTGGCTGGACTGTTTCCTGTCTGATTAAAAATAAAGGATGATAAATGGCTTATTAAAAAAAGGCTATTTTATTAATAGTTCATTAGTGACATCAATTTATTACATGTTGATGAATGGTGTATTTAAGGCTGTGTTGGGCTCATGGATTAGATTTGCTTTAATTTGATACAGTAGTTAATTATACGTTAATGAGACATTGGGGGTGATGTGTGATGAATGGAAGGCTGAGGCTGATTAACCTCTACGTGTGTCTCCAGGGATCACTTGGCTTCCCTGGTGTGGCCGGGGTGCCAGGAGAGAAAGGACGAAGGGTGAGGACTGACATTCTGACTGCTTCAGAATATGGAAACTTTTCTGTGTATGAGCTGTTGTAAAAAACTGACTGATAAATAATTGTTAACCTCTACAATGCAGGGTCCAGCTGGCCAGGCAGGACCTGGAGGCCAAAGAGGTCCTAATGTGAGTACAGCTATAGGTGATACACCATGTTTTGTCTGAATGTATAAAGCTGCTACATTTGCTCTAATTAGATACCATCAGTTCACCAAAATTTGTGGGAGGCACACTGTTACAGTGCAGTGTTTTCACATCACCAGACGTTTATCTTCCACCTACAGATGAGTAATGCATGTGCTAATCAGGCTGTTGTTTGTTTTCCAATAGGGAGCTCGGGGGGGAAGAGGAGCAAAGGGGCCCACTGGAAAGCCTGGAGAAAAGGTGAGCTTAAACTGAGGCGCACACACACACTCTGACATAAACAAAGACATATGCACATGCAGTTACACTCACATAAACACACACCTGGCTTCTCATAAAGTATGGATGAATGCACCGACAGAGTTGGAACTGGTTGTTGCTGTTCACTTCTAGATGACAGGCCATCTGGTGCAGTGAGAAGCTACTGTCTGGCAGGGGATGCTTCAGTTTACACTCTCACCCTCAAAGACCATCTTGGGAAAGCTAAAAATTGGTTGGCGGGGAGAAAACTAAAAATGTTTGAGCGGCTCTTTTTGTACAGAACCTGTGTTTTTATTTGTTTTTTGCCTCATCCACCTTGTAGGGTTCTTCTGGACAAGATGGCCCTTCAGGATCCCCCGGAGAACAGGTAATCTTTTGACTCTTGGATAATACTGTACATAAAGTGCTTAAATAAGACCATAGATCTGATTGAGTGAGTTTGGAATCACAGGTGTCATAAATCATTAAAGAAAAAGCATGTGAAAATTCAATCTGAAGTTTCAGGCAGCATTTGACAATCTGTATTATTTTCTAGGGTCCCCAAGGACCACAGGGAAGAAACGGTGAACCAGGACCTAGAGGGCCTAGTGTGAGTAGGCGCTGTTTGCCCTGTGATTTAATGTTACTTATTTTTACCCTGTCCCACATTTTATGCTCACCTTTGGTCATGTTCTATTCTTTACAATGATGTAAGAAAATGCTTCCCTTTCAGGGTCCACCTGGAAAGGATGGATTACCAGGTCATCCAGGCCAGAGAGGGGAACCAGTGAGTCACCTTTAATTTTAATAAAGCTACATGTTAGGTATATAGCATTCTTCATCTATGAGATTCACACTCCGGCATTAACTTAACAAACAAAGGGTTGAGAGTCAACATGATCTACGGTTTGTGTCAACACAGCAAACAAGTCGATAGCTGTGACATCATCATTGGATTACTTTAGTCAGAGTACAAGTCGAGAGGCCAATACTAAATCTGTGTGTACAGCCCTATAGATAACTGTGCATCCTGCTGACTCTATTTCAACCCTTAAGTGAGGGTCACCAGACTCACTTGTCTTATTCTTCAGGGCTTCCAAGGTAAAAATGGACCCCCCGGGCCCCCTGGAGTTGTTGGACCACAGGTAAGAGGATCAGCAAATGGTCTTGGTTGATTCTAAAGCAAACAGCTGTTTGTTTCAGATGGCATGTTTTGAAATATATGTTAATTTGGTTGTTTTCAGGGCAAATCTGGTGAGACAGGGCCAACTGGAGATAGAGGGCATCCGGGTTCACCGGGACCACCGGGTGAGCATGGCTTACCGGGTACTGCCGGAAAGGAGGGTGCCAAGGTGAGTTGTTTTCATCATAATGTCAGGATCATAATCACTTACCAGCATCACCTTATTACTGTTATATTAGATAAACTCCAAGGACTCTCTCAGCACTGTCTGAATATCTTATCTCCTGGGTCTCATCCTATCCTTTAATTTGCTAATAAATAACAGAGGATACCTCACAGTGTTGAGTGTATTATGGCTTATAAAAGATAAATGTTCCTTCTTGGTGTGACTTGTTGGTTGGTGTGATTTATGACTGCATAAGGACCTGCTGTCTGCTGGATACTTGCCCTATATCTAATCACATATGTGTATGTGTGTTTTCCAGGGAGACCCAGGTCCACCAGGAACCTCAGGGAAAAGTGGCCCTGCTGGGCTCCAAGGCTTCAGAGGGAGCAGAGGGACCCCTGGTGCAATGGTAACGCAGGATTCCATATATCTCACCAGATGGCCTCCTCTCATTGTCACCATCAGATTTTCTTGAAATGTGCAGCTTGCAATTAGATCACAACTAAACCAAACTATTGTAATTTACTGATGGTAAATTTTGTAATGGATGTGGTTGTCTGTCTCTCTCCAGGGTCCTGCAGGTCTGAAAGGAGGAGAGGGCCTACCGGGTGTTGCAGGACCTATTGTAAGTCTGATTTTGTTAAATTGCTTCCTTTCCCATCCCTTGCTCTCTGTGCAGCTGCTATATAATACTAGTGACATGTGAAGCCGGAGGCTGTTTCCATGGTGATCAGTGATCGTGACCACTACATTAAATCAAAGAGTAAATCATGTGACACACTCACCTCACCTCTCTATCTCCTCTTATTTTCAGGGTGCCACTGGAGAGAGGGGCCCCGCTGGGTCGGCTGGCGCCATTGGCCAGCCAGGACGGCCCGGCGGCGTGGGTCCTGCTGGACCGATGGGAGAGAAAGGCGAGCCAGTAAGATTTGGAAACTGCTAATTTTGTTTCAACAACAATCTCCATGAACACATACTGTACCATCAACTCCCACCATTGGGTAATAAATAACATGTGTACTCGCTATGGAATGTGTGGTTATGAGACAGAAAGCAGGATAGAGGTAAGGGAGGCAGAGATAGAAAGGGGGGAGAAAATATGAATGTGATCAAGCCTGCTTTCTTGGGTGCGAGTTTCCTTCCTGTTACGATACATTAATCAATGTGTCATGCTGCTATATGAGGATAATAAGTATGGTAGCATTTGCTAGATGTGCATGGTTTTCCCATCTGTCCCCTAGGGAGAGAAGGGGCCTGTTGGGCCAGCTGGGCATGATGGGGAAACGGGACCTGTAGGGCTGCCAGGGGCTGCGGGACCTTCTGGGCCACCAGGAGAGGACGGAGACAAGGTAGTTACACTTCCTACTGTTTGACAGCCAGCTTGGACTGCAATATGCGGCAAAGCCTATGCTGATTTTTGGACTTAATTGTTTGTCTGTGTGTGTGTGTGTGTGTGTGTGTGTATAGGGAGAAACAGGAGGACCAGGCCAGAAGGGCAGCAAAGGAGACAAAGGAGAATTTGTGAGTATAAAATGTATGCGAATAGTCATCATATATACATATACATACATATACCTTGCATCACTAGGAGGTAGAGGACAAACTGGTTATTTAATTAGTTTGAGGAAATTGATTGTAATAACTGTTTGCTTGATGCATCCTCTGGTGGTTGGAGCAGATGGTTCTGATAATGTCTTTCCTACAGTGAATATGTTTTGAACTGCCCCTCTGCTTTTCTAGGGACCCCCAGGACCCATTGGAATTCAAGGACCTGTGGGCCAGCCAGGACTGCCAGTATGTTATAAAAACTTAATGCACGCATGGTTTAAAAACACATAATTGTATAATAATTGTATAATAATTGTATAATAATTTAGATAAATTGGTTTAGATTGTGTAGTGTTAACAGTGCTGACTTGTGTATGTCTCAGGGTGCCGATGGTGAGCCAGGTCCTCGTGGGCAGCAGGGAATGAACGGGGCGAAAGGAGATGAAGGACACAGAGGCTTTAAGGGAGCGTCTGGTCCTTCTGGACTACAGGTAAAAAAAATACTATTAATTCCAAAACTGACTGTATCTACATTGGTCCGTCTCTGATTTCACATTCATACTTAAGTTTATGTCTTTTTCCATTTCATGCATAAGACTGCGTTGATAACCATATCTGCATTTGTAGGGAATGCCAGGACCATCAGGGGAGAAAGGAGAGAGTGGGCATGTTGGCTCAATGGTGAGTACTGCTCAGCAATCTCAGCACATACAGCACTCATCTCAAGTCCACTGCTGTGGTCCAGTGTCAGTCTCAAGTCCGTTCTCAACACCGCTTTTCAGACATCTTGCACTTTGCTTCATGATTATTATGACTTTGACTTGTCTTGGTCTTGTCTGATATTGGACATCAAATTGACACCTTTGAGTATGTTTCTCCACTTTTCTTCATTTTCTTCTTAGTATCAAAGGCAGTTTAATAGATCTTTAAAATAGAGTCTAATAGAGTCTAGCTATGAGTGTCATTTACATAAACAATTTAATGCAATCCCATTATATTACAGAATACATTTCATACTGCCTTCATATGAGAGACATATGCTGTAATAAAATAATTTCATGATTAAAAATGGATTCTTAAGGTGAGGATATGGCATTTATTAAAGTCTGTCATAGAAACAAAGGACTGTTAATGAGCCAGTTAAAGGTGCAGAGGAAATATTATCTTGGTTTTAAGATCTAAGTTCAAGGTATAGGCAGACTATGAACTGTAGCTGGTACACAGACAACCTACCACAGCTATTCAAAATTTGATTAGTGCCACCTATTTAGTTTGTTAGTGCCAGCTGTGCTGATTCTGCTACTTTGTCCTTTGCTGATCATCATTAAAGTTTACCGCCCTCAAACTACAGGAAGTGCTGTTGAGTGGGGCTCAGTTTCTTTGTGAGCCTGTTGCACAAAAACTATGATCAACTAATTTAAAACAAGAAATTTAGCTACTCTGTTGTCCAGACTACAGTATATGAGCTAAGAGCTGTGTTTCTATTGTAATAGCCTTGACAGCTCTTGACAAAGCAATGAACATCCCACACTAGCCCTGCTAAGTAGCAGTTAACATTATGCAAACAAGTCAACCATATTACTATGGCATGTAACATATTCTGTGTCATTATGCTGGCCATGAAAAAATACAGTAGGTTAAAAAAAAACACACTCTCCAGTCAACTGCTCTCTTACTGTAATTCTGTTCCTCATATCTCTACTATGTGTCTGTTGGCATTGGCTTTATCTCTTTGTTATCTTATAAAATCGTATCCATTATACTGTAATAATGGTGAAAAGAAAGAAAGACTTTTAAACCTTTAAACCTCTAACAATCTCAACACATCCTTTCAATGCCTCATGGCTCTTCAGGGCTGAGTGTGAATGACAAGATAGACCATGACTCCATGTGCAAGAAAGACGAGCCCAGAGAATGAAGAGGTGTTCCTGTATGTGAGAGGAAGAAAAAGATAAAATAGAAAAGAGAGAGAGAGTGACAGAAAGGAGGCAGCAGAGCAATGGAGTGGAGGGGAGAGGCGTGGCACTGATTGTGAACAGGAAGACGGTGTGACAGCTGCTAATCAGATTAGCCTCAGCCTTGGCTGTCTAATGAGCATCCTCCTTTGTGACAGTCATCTCACAGCGCTGTCAACCATGAACACAAGCTCAACAAGATTCTCTATAGCCCCTCTTCTCCACAGCCAGATTAGGGAGGGAATGCATCAGAATGGAACCAAAAACAAAAGAGAGAGAGAAAGAGAGGAGAGGAGAGATGTTGAAGACTCAGTGGGAAAGTTTCATTCATGTGTGAGCGTTGCGGATCACAGAATTCTCCCCTCTAATGCTCAAGTATCTCTCTGCCAGAAGGATATGTGTTTCCTCTAGTAGTCCCACACAGTCTCTCTCTGGGCAGATTGTCTGTCTTTCTGTCTCAGTGTCTTTACAACACAAGGCTCCCTCCAAGACTTCAGAGTGATTCAGAGCACAGCTCAACATCTACTCAACTGAAACTGAAGCAGAGCACAGTTAGGATTAATTGCTTGGCACTCTCTTGAGTTGCACAGAAAAGTCAAATCACATACCGTCACTGTGGCTGAGGGAATATGGTCTTGCACATCACAGGCTAGAGGTTTCTTATTAATAAGAGAGAATAAGAGAGGCGGGGGGAAATCAGAGCCTGTGTCATATTGAGGGTAATGACCTGTCTGGACGTCTTCATCATGTCACTACGATAATGATCATGGATACTGGGGCCATTGCATAAGCAATCCACCATGGGCTGACTTCTAACTCTCATTTAATTTAGGAGGCACTAGTCAACCCCTAGCTCACATTCAGTTTGTTTTTCTCTGTGTATTTTATTGATACAGTACATCCTCATTGTCTGCACTGAAATCCTTATGAAAACATTTAATTTCTCTCTCCACAGGGGCCTCCAGGACAGCATGGCCCACGAGGCCCTCAGGGGCCCATTGGGGGAGAGGTGAGTGCAGCATGACTTTTTTTTATTTTATTTCTGTAAATCTGTGTTACATTTCTTGAAACAATAAATGCACCTGCACAGTCCCTTAATTTGGTGATGCTAATCAACATAATCAGCATTACCAAATATTATAATTGGTCTTCTCATAATGAATACATTTAGATACATTTTCATAATTTCAGATTTTAGCCTAAGAACATTGAATT